TTTAATATAGGGTTTGGCCTGGGTTGGGATATTCTTTTATTAATATTTCATTGACCTAGACCTTTTTTTTTTTTTTCTTTCAGGTTTTAGGTACTTAGCTAGATCTAGTAAAGTTTTTATTGTTTAATACTAAATGTAATTATATAAGATACCGGATAAAGTGGATGTTCCTGAATATAATATCATATTTTCATTTTAAAATTATTATGGCAGGGCAAGTTAGCCAAATAGTTTTGTTATGTTTTGTTATTTTGGTAAATTGATGTAAATTATGCTGAGTATAATTTCTGTTATTAGCACAGACCTTTCACATATTTGAGGCCCACATTAGCATGTGTTAAAGTGTTTAATGATACTGAACATATTGGAACTTAAAGAGAACAGCTATTCAAACCATCTTGACAGAAGATCTAATAGAAGCCCAAACATAATGAAATCTTGGTAATTAGTTCTGTGTCAGACCGTGTTCAGAAAAGTAGATAGCCTTCTCCATACTTCTTTATTCCAAATTAGGTGAAGGTGTTCTCAAAATGTTTCAGAATGTAGGCTGACTTTGGTTTTCATAGGCCTTGGAGTTTTTAAGAATTCTAGAATATATTTCAAAATAATTTATACAATCTTAAACTGCTGGATAAGAAGGATCTAAATCTGTCTTGCTCAGTATAGTAACCAGTAGCCACAAATGGTATTTAAATTAAATAAAATAAAATTTAAAATTAAGTTTCTCAACTGCACTGTCCACATTTCAAGTGTTCAATAGTCATGTGACTAATAGCTACTGTATTGTACAGCATAGATACAGAACATTTCCATCATCACAGAAATCTGTTGGACAATACTCATGTAAAGCATTCTTCTCATTTTCTCTGGAAGGGTATCTCAATTAGGATATATAACTATTCTCACATACTAAAGAAAATTCCTGTCTCTTCATCACTTGGAAAATGCCACCACATAGGCTGTGGATCTATTTTTTGAAGTATGGATAATCACATCTTGCTTTAACTCTGTCTTATCACTGAATGGGACTAGATAAAAAGAACTATCTTCTTTAGCAAAACCTCTGCGTCTTTGCATTTTTTCTCAGTAACAGAAAGTCATTATGCCTCCCTGCCTCACAGGAATGTTTCCAGTATTAATTATAGGAAAGATGTATAGAAATCGGGAGCACAGTACACAGCTCCAGCCTCTAGAGTTGAACAGAGTATATGCCCTGAATTTGGGGTTATCCATATGACTAAACTGAATCATCTGAGCAGGAAAAAAGAGATCTGTCTTTGCCAGTTTTACTCAAATTTGTTGTATGAACTAAAACATTTCCAGGATAATTGGGTTATCACTGTAAAGAGTAACCGTAAATATTCATCCCCAAAGTATGCTATAAGTTGCTTTATGGTGAGTCTGATGAGGACATGCAAGATATTATTAATGTGAATGTGTTCTTTTCAACAGACTTGATAATGAAGGGGAGGTATCCATTAGATTTTCTATTTTCTTCTTTCAAGTTAGAACTGTCTGTTCACTACACATCCAAAATTTCTCTTAACACCATTCTTACAGGGGAGAGTATAAGTGCTTGGGAAAAAAGTTGGTCCCATGGTAGCTACTGTGAGCTTGGCATTCTGAAAAGGAGAATAGAATTCTAAAGAAAATGTCTACCACATTTTAATAGAACATCTTAAATTACTATATTTACCCTTTTTCTATTCTCTTTAAAATAGTTTGACTCCTAGACTCCTGATAGATTTTAATCATCTTAAAGCATATATATTCCTTTCTCTTAATTTTAAGATTGATTGTCATGATGCAAAATCATCCTTCAGATTTCAACCAATGATTAGATCATTAACTAGGGGGAAAAAACTGGCATCTGTGTTCAGGTGATCAGATGACATAAGCAGTCTGGTTTTAATTTGTGGCCAGTACTGATTGTAACTAAGAGAGACTTGCTCTTTTTGTGGAATTGGCTGACTATTTCCCTACATCTGGAGTTAATAAAGCCTTTGAGACCACATCAGTTGTGCTTTGCCGCAAGAAGTCTTTGATCTGAAAAATCAAGACTGGCACAACTGCTGCTTCATAACATTGCATCTATGTTTTTGCAAGCTATAGTTAAGATACCAAAAGTAAAGTTATTTAGCTTATTTAGCCTGTGTTAGAAATGCTGGTAAATGTACCTCTTTGAAAGCCATATATTGCAAAACATTCTTAGTATAAAAATTTTGAACTCGTGTTAGTACAAAAATGATATAGTAGGAGTTTTTTGTTTTTGTGGTTTTTTTTTTTTTTTGCCATTTTCATTTATAAGGTCTGTCCTTTAAAAGTCCATTGTTTTCAAAATCTGTTTGAAAGATATAGCATTAAAAACAAACTTTACCTCTAAAATGTGCCGTTTTCTCCATACAGCTTCAAACTTTTTGAGTAAGGGAAGGCAAGTCTCTGTGCTTTGTGTGGTTTTTCTTAGTTTTCTTGCTTTCCATGACAACCGTCAATAAACCATTATCTGATCTGCATATTCTCTTTTATTTAGCAGTGATTTGTAAATCAGTAAAGTTTATCCTTTTACTTCCTTTTGTAATTGTAACCATCTTCAAATTTTAAAAATGTAAGTATATTAATGTGTGGAATACAGTGAATTGAATGGGAATAAGGATAAAGAAATATAAATTGATAAATTATGTAAAAATTTAAACTGACAAATTATGTCCATTTTTGTGTAAAATTGTGTAAAATGACACATCAAAACTGGAGTGTTTTCGTAAATATCAGGTATGAGAGTCTTACATACTGTTTCAGTCTATAACCTAGATGGAATTAGAGAATTTTATATTTCATCCGTACATATCAAGGATGGTGTGTATAGTAAGTGCACATTTGTGATAGAAAGCATATGTTCGGGTGCTGTCTTCTAAATTTGATTCTCATTGTATTTTCTGGATAGTTCTATGGATTTATTCTATTTTGTTGTTGTTCGTGGTTTTAGCTTGGCTTGAGGAAATCTATATAGAAAGGGGACACGAGGATTTCTAGCTAGGGCTAAGTTTAAAAGATGAAACTTGATTAAAAGAAAATAGTCCAAAGTTCCTTTCCTGAAAACCTTATCTGCCTATCAGGCTGTACAATACGTTGCAGACACATTTGTATATAGTCAGTTACTTTATTTCAACACAATCATTTGTGAAATATGTTTAAACCAGAAAAGTATGTTTAATATGTGTGATGAACAAACCATTTTATCTGCCATATTCCTCAAACTAGGGGATCCTTCTAGATAATTCTTAGGAATATACTGTATCTTTTCCAAGACTTCTCAGGAACCACAGATGCATGTTTTTATCTCTGGGATGTGAAAGGTAGGAAACAAACCTGAATGCCAGTCCATTAAAAAAAAAAAAAATCACCTGTGCTAGCATTATCAGGACCAGCACACAGAGTAAAAATTACCTTTTATTTAGAATAAACTGTGTATATAACTAGGCTCACGTTAGACAAACACTGTAAGGAACAGCATTTGAGTATTGAACAGGTAATGTTTAGCAACATAACTGCTCCTATTAGAATGAAAGATGATACTGTTAACTAATACTTATTGCCTGCATACTTTGTACAAAGCACTGTGCTAAACATTTTATATATAATCTCATCTGATCTGCCCATCAATCTCCTCATGCAAGCAGTGTTAACACCATTTTACAAAAGAGGGAATTGAGTCTTGGGAAGATTAGGGTAATTTGCAAGAGGTCTTTACAGTTAATACCTCCAAGAAAGAATAAATTAATATAATTGACAGTTTATGTAAATAAAAAGTTGGGATCCCATTTTAATCTTGGTGTGCTTCCTTAAACTTGGGGTAAAATATCAAATTATGTAGAAGAACATAAAGTAAAAGTCCTCCTTCCCAATTCGCAGTCTAACGATGTAACTAACCACTGTCAGGTTTCTTGTGTGTAATTCTAGAAATTTTCTATGCTTATGCAAACAAATTGATATATGATTTTTATAATAGATGCTTCCATAATTTTAATGTTATTCTATTTCAATCAACATTTAAAATTTTTATTTTGTTGAATTTAATGGATGTATCACTTCAAACTAAAACAAAATTAGTTTATTTCATTCACTGCTCACAATAGCTTACTCTTCCTCCTGACTTCTGGTTGACTTTTGTAGACTGTGTATCACTTTAGATATTATTTGTTTTCCACCTTTGTTTTAGTAGTTAAGAGAATAGTGTGATCACATTTTGATCATTAAGGTTATTTGGCTGCCCATTTAGTTTTCCAGAGGAATGCAAATGTTGGCCATTTGCTAATTCAAAATGTTTGCAGTTTGCTTATCTAAAAGCAAGGGTTTATCAAAGGAAATTAATACTGCTCTAATAAATTAAATGAGATTTTTCTTAAAGCTTTGCCAGACTTGAAAGTGTACTAGCAATGTGTTTTTAATTTATTTGCTGACTCTACCAAGTTAAGGAAGTTCCTAACTCTACCAAGTTAAGAAGTGTTATGCCTTTGGTAGTTACCTTCTAATTATAACAAAGATAGCAACGTTTAATCAAACTCATTTTGATTTTATTTGGTGAATCTTGTAACACTGAAAAGAATGAATTTTATGAACCCAGGTTTTATGTTATGCTGTATTCAAAGGACATTTGTTTGCTCCATCAGATTTTGAATCATGAGCCTACGTGAGGTTTGTGTTTGGTAAGCCAGTTCAGTGCTTATTCAGTCACTTGGTGTAACTGTCATACTAAGATGCATTACAGAGATATTTAGAGTTGTATTTTTCTCTAATAACCAGTTTTAAAAAAAAAACATGTGGATGGTAATTAAGTTTGACATTATTTATGTGGATTTAAGGCAATATTCTTTTCATTTGTGGTAGCCCTTTGTAAAAATTAGATAGGCCTTTTTAAGCCCCTTACAGAATATAGAACTCATTTTATGTAAGTAATAAGATAGTCATTTACATTTTAATTAAATGTACCATTTAATTTTAAGGTATATGCACCATCCCCAAATTCAGATGATTTCAACCGTGAATCTCCTAGTTATCCATCTCCTAAGCCACCAACCAGTATGTTCGCTAGCACTTTCTTTATGCAAGGTAAGTACTACCAAATAACTGCCAAATACTACTGCAGTCATCTGTATATCAGCCAGTATTTTAAAGTATTAGGAAAGAGAATACCTATATTCAGGCCTTATCTAGGTATTTTTTTGGCTAAAGGAAATTAAAATTTAGCTTTATAATTTTCCAGTGCTGTTTATTACTGACTGCAATTTAATTGAATTATCTAGCAAACCGTTGGCGTGCTGTTCCAGTATTGATTGAATTTATAAAGGTCTTAAATTGAAAAAAATAGAGCTGTTCTTGCTCATTTTAGAATTTAAGTGTATGAAAGTTGTTAACTCTAGTTTCTTGCTTCATTTATGGATTCATATCATGCCTAGAATTACCGATATAAAGAAAGAGTGAATATCATAGAACAGAGTAAGACTTGTTAAGAGAGAAAAAGTGTTGCATTTCCTTTACTTCATGTCTAGCAAATCATTTTTATTTGGTCTCCTGTGGTTTTGTACTATGGGAAGCAAATATATGGGAGCAATAAATTACTACATAAATGGTTCCTTGACTTTATATTGTTGAGTGAAGTCATTGCTAACACATTTCATTTGAAAGCTAACTATAATGTGGTAATTATCAATTACTTAGTTTTACTCTTAGAGAAACTTCTTTATTCCACAGTTTCAAAATGTTTGATATTATGCACATTGCATGTTATGGATTAATAACTTTCTGTGTATTTATGAGTATACCACTTAACTAAAAATAAATCTAGCCTATTTCCAAATTTGGAATTTTTATTATCTTCCTTCATACGAATTTAGATCTTCTGAAGATTTTTATAATGGCCTGCCTATTACAGATTAGATTACTTTTTTCCCTAACTAAAATGTTAATTTCTCCTTTTTAAATGGTAATTTTACAGTTTAGAGGGAAGAAAAGTGGGTAGAAGACTAGGTTGGAAAAGGGAGGAAAAGTATCTGGAGGGTACCCCTTGAATTTTTATAAGCAACATCAAAATACAAGAAAAATTTTAGCTAAGGAAAATTTTGTATTTCTCTTTTTGTCTTAGATGGGACCCACAATTCTTCTGACCTTTGGAGTTCATCAAATGGGATGAGCCAGCCTGGTTTTGGTGGAATTCTGGGGACCTCCACTTCCCACATGTCTCAATCCAGTAGTTATGGCAACCTTCATTCACATGACCGCTTGGTAGGCTATAACACATGACTAGGGTACAGCAACACTTTGTCCTCACTTGTGTTTCATTTTGGATTAGAAGTGTAAAATCTGATTCTGCCAAAACTTCTGAAGTTTGAAGTACTTCAAGGCTTACCGCATTTACCATGCCATTTTAAAAAATAAATGACTATAAGTAGCACTCTTTAGCTGCTAACTTATAAATGTTCTTTTTGACCTGTTATAGTTGTCCATTATATGTAAATATTATTCAGAAAATATATTTAATAGATCGTATCTCTTTCCATCTAGAGTTATCCTCCACATTCAGTTTCACCAACAGACATAAACACGAGTCTTCCACCAATGTCCAGCTTTCATCGCGGCAGTACCAGCAGTTCACCTTATGTTGCTGCCTCACACACTCCTCCCATCAATGGATCAGATAGCATTCTAGGTGAGCTTTATGAGTTGGCAAAACTTCCTAAAACCTAGTTTGGGGATTTTCAGTGACCCCCATATCTTTTTATATATTTTTTTATTTATATATATGTGTGTATATATATTTATATATGTATATAATTTTGTATATCTATGGGTGTATATTTATATATGTGTATATATATTTGTGTGTGTGTGTGTGTGTGTGTGTGTATATATGTATGTTTGTTTGTTTGTTTGAGACAGAGTCTCTCTTTGTCACCCAGGCTGGAGTGCACTGGCACACTCATGACTCACTGCAGCCTCAATCTCCAAGGTTGAGGAGGTGATCCTCCTGCCTCAGCCTCCCCAGTAGCTGGGACTACAGGCATGTACCACCATACTCAGCTAATTTTTTTTGTACTTTTTGTTGAGACAGAGTCTCATTATGTGGCCAGGGCTGGTCTCAGACTCTTGGCCTCTAGTGATCCTTCTGCCTCGGCCTCCCAAAATGCTAGCATTATAGACATGACTCACCACACGTGGCCTTGTTGTTGTTGTTGTTGTTGTTGAGACAGGGTCTCACTCTCTTAGCTCTCTCACTCTGTGACTACAACCTCCGCCCCCAGACTCAGGTGATCCCCCAGCTTCAGCTTCCCAAGTAGCTGGGACTACAGGCACACACCACCACGCCCAGCTAATTTTCCATTTTTAGCAGAGGTGGGGTTTCTCCACATTTCTCAGGCTGGCCTTGAACTCCCGGGCTCAAGAGATTCGCCTGCCTCAGCCTCCCAAAGTGCTAGGATTACAGGCATGAGCCACCACACCTGGCCTTGGCCCCTCTTTCAGTATATTTTTTGGTGTTGAATTTAAAAGTGAAAGACAGGAAGACAAGAAGCTTTTTTATTTTCATCAATATAGAGACTGGTAAAGAACTCATCTTTATTAATAAGTACAACACATGCAGAGTATTTCCTAGTTTATTGTAATGGATGTGAGATGGCAATAGAGAACACCCTTGAAATAATGGCAGAGTACTAAAATATATTTGCTGGTAAAATTCTTGATTTGTTTCTCTATGAAATATCCAGGAACCAGAGGGAATGCTGCTGGAAGCTCACAGACAGGTGATGCACTTGGAAAGGCTTTGGCATCTGTAAGTATTGATTTTACACATTCTACTGAATGAATTTTACACTGCTGAATACAGTGATTAGATTTTGTAGGTGATAAGTATCTAAAGAGTGTAGACGTAACAAAATCAATTTCATTACACATTTAGAGTTTTTCTCGGTTTGTATTGATATGTGCCCTTAAATGCTATGCCTGTGGTACAGCAAATGCTGGGAAGAGGAAAAAGAAGTCATCTAAAGCACAAACTGCCAAGAATAATCATTAAATCTATTTCTTCTAAATACATAGTTAGTAAGTGGCCCATTAATATAAGTCAAGTGGAGCCACGAAAGATAACTCAGTATTCTGATCCAGAGAATGAAGTGCCTTTATAAGGAGCTTTTCCAAGATCAAAAGCATTTTATGTACGGTATTTTTTTTTTTTTTTTTCAAAAGGTCAACTGCACCTAATTTACTCAAGGGATAGGAAATGAGAGCCTTTTCCGCAAAAAAGCCAGATTCATTGAAGAATCATGCTAAAATGAGTAAAACTGATTTGAAGGACTCTGATAGTATTTTCTTGAGCAACTAGTTCACATACATCACATCAGAACATTAATGACAAAGCAGTGATTATATTTTAATATCTGATTCTTAAAACATTAAAATCTCTTCTTTCAGAATGCCAAAACTAGAAGGGAGAGCATTTTTCAGTAAATCTACAACAGATTCAAATCTAATTATTAAAAAGGGGCACTTGTGATTTGCACTTGCTAAAATTTCACTTTAGATGATTTTTTTTCTTCTTGTTTTCTGAGCAGTATGCTTCTTATAATTCCCACAGAATTGTCTTTTATTTTCTATGAAGTACAATTAACTTGCAGATACATTCGTTGCCATTCATGGAAAAGGCAGAGCACTTTTAATACCTGAGTAGTAGGAAGCAACTGTTGAATATTTAAGGAGATAAACCTCTTTGTATATTGTTTCTGTAAATAAATTTTTCTCTACAGCTGAATACTAGCTTCTTGGAAAATGAAGCCAAGTCAGACTCATCTACTACACAGTAGAGATGAAGCACACAGAAAATGGAGCTCAGTGAATGTTTGTTGAGTTCTGTCTTGGATCATATAATAATAATAGTAATGATAATAACAAAACCCACAAAATTTATCAGCTATAATTTGAATGCTTACTAGGTGCTAGGCCCTATACTAAGTATTTACATGCCCTGTTTCATTTAATCCTCAAGAAAGCCCTGTAAGGTTGGCATTGTTATCCCCACGTTACAGATGAGGAACTACGGTTTAAAAGGTTAAGTAACTTGAGCTCAGAAAGATTAAGCAGCTTGCCCTAGGGGACTCATAAGCTAGCATGGATAAAGCCCATATATATTAGAACCCTGATCAGACCTGCTTCAGACTCTGCTCCTAACCACTGCTCCATACATCCAGAAAGTGCAGTGCTATGGTAATTTTCTTACAGGGTATTGATGAGAATGAAAGAAAATTATCTCACCCTTTTCTCAACTTACTGTCACCTGATGAAAATGACCTATTTAGGAAGAAAATTTTATTCTATACTAAATCTGAGAGGTCCCCAGGTATTTGATTGGCTTACCATATTCCTTCTCCTGATTCTGGAAGAATCTAGTAACTGATATTTCACATGTAGCAGGACAAATAACATTTGAACTTTCAGTGCTAAATAACTTTTTAAAATATAAGCTGCATTTTGGGGGCTTTTTTTCTCAAAGGTCGTTTGTTTATTTTATTAAAGAAAAGCTTCTATCAGGGAACCTTGGCATATAGGCAGGCAAGAATTTGTGATGTTCTCAGTGGCCCTTCAAGTTCATTTTGTTACCCTTCACATCCTTGAGTATCTTCCCGTATTATAAACAGCATACTAGCCAAACCAAAATGGCATTTGGAAAAGAAAACCCAAATTCACTGTGAATGGAATCCAGTGAAGAAATGTTTAATCTAGTTAGTGGGTGGGCTTTGGTTGTCATGGAAACTCAGCTCTGTCATCCTGTGTTGTTACTAGGCAGGAGCAGCCAGGTCATTCCATAAATCATTTCTGTCATAGCTGACGGTGATGCATTCCATCTGCTCCATCACTGCATGCCATAGTCTGCACATTTCAAATCCCTTCCTTCAGTCCATCTGCTTCCCCACTTCCTAGCCGGACACCTCCCCAAATACATTCTTTTTCCAACTTTCCTTACAGACGCACATTCACTTTAATATATGTTTAGTGCACTCAAAATGTACTGAAAAAGAAAAACATTATATTATCTGGGGATAGGAAGGATTAGAAGAGATGAGGAGAAGGAACTTAATGAGGATTACATTTGAGAGTCTGACATGCATATCATAATTTTATGTCAGGTATTATAGATCTTTTGAAATGGTGACTCTGACTATTTTGAAATTTTAAGTTCTTTAGAATGTGACGCTTTTAATATAGCATCTGGTTTTAGATGGAGAACACTATGCTGTTGTCATTAAAAAGTAATTCTATTTCCCCAATTGTCTGATATATGTCTTAAAAGATCTTTCATATTGTGAAACATCAGAGGGTACAACCTTTGTTCTTCAGTTTAGGTATTAAAGAGCACACAGAATACTGTGTGATTAAACATGTAAGGCCAGATAATGCATTTGCAAAGGTTCCTTTATTTTAGGTTTAAGCCTGGATAATTGTGGTCTTAATCTCAGGATAGCAAGAAAGAGAATTGTACATGAAAGTATTTACACAAAGTTCCCAAAGCCCTGTGGATTATGCATTAGTTTAGATAAAAAAAAAAAAAAAGAAGAAAAGAAAGAAAGAAAAACTAGGGTAGATAGAAGGAAAGGAAAATCTGGATATTCGTGCCATTTCTAATGTGTTTCCCTGAACGTTTGCCAGACAATAACCCTTTAAGATTGTGCCCGTGGAGAGTTATATAGAGGAAGAAACATCTGGTTTATTTCAGTGCCTAATACCATATCAAAACACTTGGTCTTTAATTTAGAGGAGATCAAACAAGAAGACTGTTTAACTTTGTTGATTATATCAGACTTCTTTGTGATAATTTATGTTTTGATTTCTACCTCAGAGCAAGGGAAAAAGTGAGAGAGAGAGAGAGTGTGTGTGTGTATGTGTGTATGTATGTGTGTATTAATCTGGATAAATGGTCAGTAGTCTCTAACAAAAGAAAAGAAAATTCAGGGAAGTTGATGTTTAAAAGTAATTCATGAAATAACTTTCTTTGTTCCTTAGACTCAATAACATTAGCATAATAAAGATTAACTGAAATGTGCACTGTAGTGTTTAAAAAATTGGGCTCACAGTTCCGGGGTTCGGCTTGGTAGCAGTCCATTGTTTCTTTTTTGTCTAAAGCCCTTTTCATTAGCCTCTGGCTTATTGGCACCCTGCTGATTGGAATAGACCATGACTGATAGGAGGAGGAGTCTCATTTGTTGGAGTAAAATGAGGCATATTACCGTTTAAGCCTGGCAGAAGGTATTGGGAGTTACTCATTATTGGTCATTTAACAGTATGAGGACCATGGACTGCATGCAGAATGAGTGCTTACTTTGTTTAGACTCTAGACTCTAAATCACTCTTTACCCCTATTTTTTTAAGTAACTGATTTTTTTTCTTCTTTTTATTCTTACCTTCAAACATCAGTGTAGGAGTTCTTTTAAGGCCAGGAAGTATGAAAAGAAACGTATTCCTGATTTAGAATACTCTGCCAAATAAAGCCTGTGTTTAGAACTTAAAGTAGCACAATTTCTATAGAATAAGTATGATTTGTTTGTGATTTGGTAATAAAATAAACACTCAGATATAAAGCTTAGTGAAATGACCTGTGATCCAATAGGCTGTGTTATCATACTTTTCAAATGTATTGCTCCTCCTCTCCCACCATAGACATTCTTTTTATGAAAGTAAAAGTGATTTTTTAAAAAGGCCTGTAACTTACAGGGCTATCTGTAAATTTAGGAAAAGTATTGATAACAATTCTGTCTGTCATCACTTTAACTGGTAAAGTAGAACCAGTGACTGTGATGGATGAGTGAAAAAGTTGGCTTTTATTGTACAAATAGAGAAGCTGCTTTTGGAAAAAAATATCAGAAATGACTTATTTTTATACTTGATATGTTTTTGGTGCTGCTTCTCCTGTTTAGACAGTGATTTTTTTTTTTTAAGTTTACACCAATTTTACATACAGCATTGGGGCATTTCACTAAGTCATTTAAAGATAGTGCTCTTATATGACTCTAAACTATTACTTTCTTTCCTTGATATAAAGGAGCTTTCACCAGTTGTTGACATGGTTAGGGATTGTTTTAAGTGTAAGGACAGAGTTTTCAAGGAAAATCGGGATTGGTAGTCCATTTCTACCCTCAAAAGCCCATGCCTACCTAACAGTGTGATATGGACAGCTTAGTACATCAACACTAATTCCCAGAAATAGTGAAACCTCACCATATGATTATTCTCAAAGCTTATGCCATAAAACTGATTTGAAATTAAGTCATATTTATAACAAGCTCTTTTGCCCTTAGTATTTCTGTTGCTGACCCACATTGTATAAATACCAAGATAAATACTACCATTTATTGAGTCCTGCTTTTTATCAGTTAGTATTATAGGAAATTTCAGTTGTAGTTTAATCGCTCAAGTTAAAAATACATACATTGGGCACCTGCTTGTACAAGATACTGGCATACAATAACGGATTCAATGTTGACCAGTATAAGTTTCCTGTCTTCAAAGAGCTTGTAGTCAAGGAGAGAAGACAGGTACACAAATAATGATAATGTATAACACAGTGTGAAGTAAAAGAGCAAAGAGAAGTTCATACTATTTTCTAAGAGTATAAGGAAGGTGAAAATGTTTAAATGGGGAAGTGACATTGGAACTGAACTTTGATAAGTAGAATTCCATCTGGGAGAGGTTAAGAAACAAGCGTTCTGAAAGGATGACAGGCTGTGTTTAGCAAATGAAAAAATATTTTGTTTGCATAATAGGGTATGTAGGTTAAAAGTAGATTATAAGGGCTGGGAGGCTGAGGCAGTGGAATCACCTGAGGTTGGGAGTTCGAGACCAGCCTGACCAACATGGAGAAACCCCGTCTCTACTAAAAATACAAAATTATCCTGGCATGGTGGTGCATGCCTGTAATCCCAGCTACTCGGGAGGCTGAGGCAGGAGAATAGCTTGAACCCAGGAGGCAGAGGTTGCGGTGAGCTGAGATCGCACCATTGCATTCCAGCCTGGGCAACAAGAGTGAAACTCTGTCTCAAAAAAAAAAAAACAAAACAAGAGGAAAAAAAAAAACACACAAAAATTAGCCGGGGGTGGTGGCACACGCCTGTGTAATTCCAGCTACTTGGAAGACTGAGGCAGTAGAATCACTTGAACCTGGGAGACGTAGGTTGCAGTGAGCCGAGATCATGCTACTGCACTCCAGCCTGGGCAACAGAGCAAGACTGTCTCAAAAAAAAAAAAAAAAAGTTTTTGAGTACATTTGAGTAGTTCAGGGCAATTATGTATAGGATGGAAAGAGAGGGAAGTAACTAGAAATATAAACACTTAAGTAGTCCAGCCACAAGTTTGAGTAAAAATTTAAAGTGGTGTCATGGCAGTGATTATGACATGTGCCTGTCCCAGAAACATTAGAGAATTGTGGATATTGGTGTCTCCAGAGGGAAGAGTAGAGTAGTAGAGGAAAAGAGGAGAGAGTACTTATGGTAACCATAAGCATGGTGCTGCTAACCTAAGTAGAAGAAAAGAGATGGGAAGGATGGGAAGCTTAGGGTAGTAATATAAAATTTAGGTTTGGACATAACTGAGCTTGAGATGAAAAAAGAGCATGTCCAGATAGAAAAGTCTAGCAACCAGTGTGACAAGAGAGGTATCAATTTAGGAGTCATTCACCTGGATGTGTTAGTTGATATTTGACAAAGATTACTATTACCAAGAGATAAAGCACAGGTAAATGAAAGAAAACTGAGACTAGAACTCTGGGGAATCATACATTAAGGGAAATGGAAGAGTGAAATAGGTGGACCCTAGGGACCTTATCAAATACAAGGACTGAAAAGAAGCACTTAAATGGAAATTCCTAGCAAGGATTATGCTTTTCATTCTTAATGACAGCTGTGTATCTATACATTGAACCCTCACCATTTATCTGCACTCTTGTGGAATCTGAGGCTACATTAATAAGACAAATTCCTTGTTCTTCTGGGGCTTATATTTTACCATGGGAAAGGAAAACAACAGGTAACAAACAAATGTAGATGATTAGAAATACAGTGTAAGCAGGAGCATGTGACAGAAAATGCTGCTTCATGAGTTGGGCTAGTTTGTAATAATCACAGTTTTGCATAGAACTGAAAATTTCTCACTCATCCATCCACCATCAGTGTTATCAACCTTTCCTTCCCTTGCCAAAATTGTAGTCAAGACATATTTCATAAAGATGAGCATCAGTTGCTCATAAATGGTATAATTATTTGAATTTTGAACATAAGAAATGGTGGTTTACAGTGGTAAAGAGGTATGTTGAGGGCCAGGTACGATGGCTCACACCTGTAATCCCAGCACTTTGGGAGGCCAAAGCAGGCAGATCGCTTCTTTGTTCAAGGAGTTTAAGACCAGCCTGGGCAACATAGCGGAACCCCATCTCTACAAAATATACAAAAATGTTGGGTGTGGTGGTGGGGGCTTGTAGTCCCAGCTCCTTGGGAAGTCAAGGTGGAAGGATTGCTTGAGCCCAGGAAGTTGAGGCTGCAGTGAGCCATGATTACACCACTGCACTCCAACCTGGGTGACAGAGTAAGACCTTGTCTCAAAAAAAAAGAAAGAAAAGGAAAAGGTACGTTGAAACATGTTTTGTTTTTGTTGAAGTTTGATGACCTTCCCTAATTTACTTATGTGGTTGAAATAAATCAATGTATGTGTGCAAAGCCACTAAGAACAAAAATATACGTTTCCAAGCTAATTTACCACATGTCCTATGAATGTTTTAAAAGGTAACAACTTAAAAACCAATAATACTGATTTGTTTTTCCTTTTTTCATATGGTGTCTTACTCTGTCACCCAAGCTGGAGTGCAGTGGCTCCATCTCAGCTCACTGCAACCTCCGCCTCCCGGATTCAAGCGATTGTCCTGCCTCAGACCCCACGAGTAGCTGGGATTATAGTTGCCCACCACACCCGACTAATTTTTATATGTTTAGTAGAGATAGAGTTTCACCATATTGGCCAGGCTGGTCTCAAACTCCTGATCTCAGGTGATCCGCCCACCTCAGCCTCCCAAAGTGCTGGGATTATAGGCGTGAGCCACCGTGCCCAGCCTAATATTGATCTTATACTATCTCTCTGTTACTAGATCCTCCCAAAGTGTTTTGAACTTTTTTCCATAGCTTTACTTTTCCAAAATAGCTTTTTAAAGAGAGTATTACAGTGTCTAGATCCTGACTATTTGAGATAGTTGATGTATAAAGGCATTTACAATTATAAGTTACTAACATCATACAAACTGGCATATTTTATTTGAAGTGGATATATTCATTTGTAGTCAAAGGAAGGTAGACTTTGGGCTGCTTACTATTTGAAAGCCTGTTACCTTTTTAAAAAATGAAATTTGGCCAGCTGTGGTGATTCACACCTGTAATCCCAGCACTTTGGAAGACTGAGGTGGGTGGATCCCCTGAGGTCAGGAGTTCAAGACCAGCCTGTCCAGCATGGCAAAATCTCATCTCCACTAAAAATACAAAATGTAGTCGGGCGTGGTGGCACACACCAGTAGTCCCAGCTACTGGGAGGCTGAGTGAGGAAAATCACTTGAACCTGGTAGGTGGAGGTTGCAACACTGCACTCCAACCTGGGTAACATAGTGAGACTCCATCTCAGAAAAAAAAAAAAAAATGAAATTTGTCAATTGTGACTTGTAGAGTTTTGTTTTATATGAACCTGTCCCAATATCTGACTTTATCAAATATTGAAAGAACATTATTATGCTTTCTTTAAAAACAATGTTGAAATTCCTTGTATGCTGTAAATTGGGTCTCTTTAAATTCATTAGAGGTCTAAGTTTATTCAAAGCAAGGTCATTTCTACTGGATGACTTTTTGCACTCAGATGACTTTTTGCACTTGCAAGTAGTTTTCCTTTTTGAAATATTTAACCACAATTTATCCATATAAGTTGTTTTCTCTGCCCTAAGTGCCGAGATAATGAAAATGATCATTATGCCTATTAAAAGAATAGGATTGTCCAAGAAGAGATCTTAGGGATGGGCCTTTGGTGCCTGGATTAAGGGGACTTTTAAAGTGTTTACTATTGTTGCCAGGCGCCATGGCTCACGCCTATAATCCTAGCACTTTGGGAGGCCAAAGTGGGTGGATCACCTGAGGTCAGGAGTTGAAGACCAACCTGAGCAACATGACGAAAACCCATCTCTACTAAAAAAAAGTTAACTAGGCGTTGTGCTGCGCACTCGTAGTCTGAGCTACTAGGGAAGCTGAGACAAGAGAATGGCTTAAACCTGGGGCAGGGCGGAGGTTGCATTAAGCCGACATTGCACCACTGCACTCCAGCCTGGGTGACGGAGTGAGACTTCATCTCAAAAAAAGTGTTCACTGTTGAATTAGATAAACTTGAATTAATGTCTGTCACCATTTATTTTTGACAATATGAAATATAAAGTATTGCAACAAAACTTTAAGCTAGAATACCTAAATTTATGCATCCCGATAATTTATCCTCTTCAAAGTTGACCTATTGGGATTTGAAGTCCACAAATCATCTTGGAAACAATTTTTGAAGCATATCAGGATTTTTTCACTTTCTTCAAGGGTGACAAAAGTATCTTCTGAGAATAAGTTTAATGTTTTACAACACTCAATCATTTGGAGCTAAAATTGGCAAAAATGTGGTTGATCAAACTGAGTAACTTTTTAAATGAGAGATAAGGGGTAACCATTAAAAAGATTATTTTCTTTGTTCAACTTTTAAACTGTCCTTAAAGACCATTCTAAAAGATAGTATTAATAGTTTTCTGAGGTGACTATTTTTAAAGATACCACATTCTAGAAAGATTGTCAGATTTGTTAACTTTGTAGGTACTTCTTATTTTTCTGTTCTAACAAATACTTCGTTATTTTCACCTAGAAAAATAAATGCTTACGATCTATTTTATTCCTCTCATATTAGAATATATATACTTTTAAATCTGTTTTTTAAACTGCGGCTTCTGTATGATGAAACAGTCTAAAACTTGATGAGAAATTTTTTCACTCTGAAGTCTTAAGGGTGACAACTAGATTATAAAAATAACTCCATGTGAATGGATTTGTGTATGTGCTGTTGTCACTTATTGATACATGTATATTTCTTGTTTTCTGGTTAGATTTATTCTCCTGACCATACCAGCAGTAGTTTTCCATCAAATCCATCAACACCAGTTGGATCACCTTCACCTCTCACAGGTAGGCTTGTGTTTTATCTAACAACTTCTAACGTGTGGGGCTACTTAGAAATATTTCTAGTTTATTTCTCAACAAACTTTAATAAAAATTTGTGAAAAATCATTTAGATTTGACTATAAGAAAGCATGTAAAGAGAGCCTTCCTCTTGAATTCATTTTGGAGAATATTAAAATATTTGCTAATTTTGAATTATTTATTAATATCTTCCCTGATTCTTAATGTAATTTGTGATCATTTCTAAGAACAGTAGTTACAACAGGATAAAAATAAGACAAGGCAATTGGAATTAAGATAAAATATGGAGAAAGAATGAAATCAAAAATTTTTCTAAAGTAATTTTTTTAGAGACAGGGTCTTACTCTCTTGCCCTGGCTGGAGTGTAGTGGTATGGTCTCGGCCCAATGCAGCCTCCAACTCCTGGGCTCAAATGATCCTTCCACCTCAGCCTCCTGAGTAACTGGGACTACAGGTGTATGCCACCATGCCAAGCTAATCTTTTTACTTTATGTAGAGACTGGGTCTCATTATGTTGGCCAGCCTAGTCTTGAACCCCTGAGCTCAAGCATCCTCCCACCTTGGCCCTCCAAAATGCTGGGATTACAGGTGTCAGCCACCATACCCACCCCCCCCCAAAATTTGTTTTTATAAGATAGCATGTAAAATATATAAGATTAGTTTATTTTAAAATACATGTAACTTCTTCCTTGTTCTCCACACTTACCATGTACAGCAGGTAAGATTCAAAGATGAACAACTACTTCTGCTAGATAGTCTGTTTTTATTTTTAGGTCAACTAAGTTATTTCACATAGAAAAAATTCTTGGGAATGATGTGGTTTTTCTGCTAAGGAAAGAACTCTCTGTGAAGGTGGATGAATATTGTTAGTGAAAATAAGTGGTTTACATTTGTTTTTGTTTTGTTTTGTTCTGTTTGAGACCGAATCTCACTCTGTTGCCCAGGCTGAAGTGCAGTGGCGTAATCTCGGCTTACTGCCACCTCTACCTCCTGGGGTCAAGGGATTTCCCGCCTCAGCTTCCCAAGTAGCTGGGATTGTAGGCACCCACCACCACACCCGGCTAATTTTTGTATTTTTTTGTAGAGATGAACTCCATTTGAATGGAGTTGGCCATGTTGGCCAGGCATGTCTCGAACTCCTGACCTCAAGTGATCCACCTGCTTCATCCTTCTCCCAAAGTGCTAGGATTACAGGTGTGACCTACTGCGCCTGGCCCACATTTTTTTTTCCTTAATATTTTTCACATTAGTTTAGACAAGTTCTAAATACTATCCTATAGTATAAATTTGTTGAGACATGATTGATGTTATTGTAAACAGGATTTTTTTTTTAATTTCTTAGGAATAAATATATAAAAATGTTTAATATCTTTTAAGCTATAATTTTAAAACTTGAACTATTTTTTTCTGAGCAGTGTTTGGAGAAAAGCCTTGCTGAAGAAAAAATATATTAGATTGTTTTGAGGAAAAGGCATTAGGCAACTGGATAAAGTTATCATATTCCTCCAACAACAGTTGAGGGAACAATTCTGTTTTCCTAATCAAGCCATTAGTTAAGTCCATGCAGTTTTGTTGTTGTTGTTAAGCCTTTTTGCATGGGCCATCACCTATGCTTTGTGTATCAGCTTTGTGGCTCTACTAAGAAGCATTCCGGTTTGGGGATGATGAACTGCTGGCAGCTGCTTTCAGCTATGAGCAGGTTCTGCCACTCTCCCAGACACCAGGGCTTCAGCTGTCTAGTAAAAGTTAAACAGCTGTTCCCCACATAGACAAGACTATGAAAGACCCATTGACTTAAAGTTGTTGTTTAGCAGAGCTGAAATTACAGGAAGAAGGATGTAACTCTAACCCTACTCACCCTCTTTGCACAGTTTTACTAAAATTATCAATGTCATTTTTGTCACAGCTTGTTTCACTTTCTCATCTGAGGTATCCGTATCAGCATTCCCACTACCTCTCCTTGTCTGTCTAGTAAGATAGCTGCCAAAGTATCCTTTGGTTTTAATAAACACTGAGTAGGAAGGCAGGCCATGGCAGAGCTCAGCATCTATGAAGGGTCATCAGTCAAGTGCAGAATCCAAGATTTAGACATTTTCCAAAAACCTAGTGGTCACAAGTAAAATCTCACATTTCCTCCTTCATCTTTATTTGATATTTAATGGATGATGCTCTCTTTTTCTCTTTAATTCAGGTTGTTAATGAAAATCTGGACTGTTGAATTATGTAATGAAGGCTTCTTTTTCAATTTAGCAGTCATAATCAAAGAAAAGTACTTTCACATACTTGTGTTGAAACAGCAAATCAAAGACTGATTTTAAGCAGGTCCATCTCTCCTGTCTCCTGTATCTATGGTTCTTACCTAAACGCACATACACCCCTGCCCACCCATAGCAGGGCAGAGATGAGATGGAAAGAAGAAAGGAAAGCACTGTGTGATAAAATATTCACTGTCAAAGGGAGAAGGAAAAGAATAAGAGCAAACCAGAGCTCCTATATAAATATGTGGACATTATTTTGCATCTTGTGTGGCAATGGCCTGTTATCTAGAATAAAAAATTCTACCCACTGTGTAGGTGGAATTCTCCACACTTGCCCTATTCCTTATGCTTTTGAGCATCAGTTAGACTTAGCACAAGTCTTTTAAAGATAGATACACATGTGCAGAGCCACATAAGCAGCTTCTAAGGCTATCATTCTTTAAATCCCCAATGTTTTCCTTGGAAACTTTTCAGGTCAAGAGCATACATTTCTACACAGAGAATGCTTAGGAGGAAAGTTCTGAGATATTGTATCAGTTAGGATGCTTTAGGCTAAAATGAAAAGAAACTCTTGTCTCAGCTAGACTGAACAGTAAGAGGATTTATAATCTTGTGTGGTGAGGTCCTGGCCCCCTATGTCAGGGCTCATGCTCTACTTTGCAGTTCTTCCTCAGACTGGTAGAAAGACAGTGTGGTTCAAGGTACTACATGCAGACGTAACAATCTCCAATAGATGAAAAAAGGACCATCTCTCTTTTTTTTTTTTCAGTTAAAAATTCCCTAATTTTTTATTCCTGGTGCCACTACCACAACTTACAGGGCAATATGACTGATGTAGTGAAAAGAAAAAGGCAAAACTACAACAGATAAAAGACCTCAGGAATATACATCTTATTGTCACTACATTGCATTAGTCAGTAGCTACACTTTTTGCAAACTGGCTATGACAGTCCCGAACAAGAAGGGTTTCCTGTTTAAGCTGCAGTAACTTTTCTGACTATGGATCATCGTTCCTTCTGTGGCAGATTTTTACAGTTCCTCTAATGCATTTGGGACAACTGTCTCAACGTAACCTACAGCTTTCCTGACAACTCCTTGTTCTCTCTCCTGCTAAGAACTGTAGCCCTTTTCTGCTGTTTTTAGAACCTTCTGCTACCATATCCACCACTTTCACCACCATGGGGAATGCCTGAGCTTCTTCCACCAAAACTGCCCCCTTTCATGGGTTCATAGTTTGATTGCTGTTGTTCACTGTAATTCCCAAAATCATTATAGTTTCCACCACCACCATAGTTACCACCGTCAAAGTTTCCTCCATCACTCCACCACCACCACCATATCCTTGGTCCATCACCATCATAGCCCCCTCTACTACTATAACCAGGAATACCAATATAGTTGCCACCATCACCTCCAAATCCATTATATCCACCATCACCTCCTCCATAACTACCTCTGCTGCCACCACCTTCACCACCATAGCCTTCTCTTCCACCAAAGTTTCCACCACAGCCAAAATTACCTCCACCACCTCCAAAGTTTCCTCCATAATAAAATTGCCAGATCTACCTGTATGACCTCTTTGTTATCCAGCAGAGTTCATCTCTTGTTTAGAAAGGACCTTTTTTACTTCACAGTTATGCCCATTAATACTATGGTGGTATTTCTTTTTTTTGTTTTGTTTTTTGGTTTTTTTTGAGACGGAGTCTCACTCTGTCATCCAGGCTGGAGTACAGTGGCCGGATCTCGGCTCACTGCAAGCTCTGCCTCCTGGGTTTACGCCATTCTCCTGCCTCAGCCTCCCGAGTAGCTGGGACTACAGGCGCCCACCACCTCGCCCGGCTAGTTTTTTTGTATTTTGTAGTAGAGACGGGGTTTCACCATGTTAGCGAGGATGGTCTCGATCTCCTGACCTCGTGATCCGCCCGCCTGGGCCTCCCAAAGTGCTGGGATTACAGGCTTGAGCCACCGCGCCCGGCCCGTGTGGTGGTATTTCTGAACAACAGTTTTATCAACTGTATCATGATCCTCAAAAGTTAATGAAGCAAATCCTCTCTTTTTTCCACCCTGCCTGTCTTCCCTTAACGTCTGCGGTTTCAATCTTGCCATACTTCTCAAAGTAGTCTCTCAAATTATATTCTTCTGTTTCTTCTTTAATACGACCAACAAAAGTTTTCTTCACTGTTAGATGGGCACCAGACTTTACAGAATCCTCTGTAGAAGCAGCTCTCTTTGGTTCCACTACACACCTATCAGCCTTGTGTGGTGTAGCACACCTTGCTGCCTCCACCTCTTCAACACAAGAATAAGTCACAAAACCAAAGCCCCTGGAACGTTTTGTTTGGGGTCTCATTACCACACAATCTGTGAGTGTGCCCCATTTCTCAAAATGTCTCTTAAACTATCATCTGTAGTTTCAAAGCTCAGACCACCATAAAAAGTTTTCTCAAAAGCTCTGATTCCTTTGAATCATGGCCGTCTTCCCCCACCACCCACCCCTACAGTGGTGGCAACGGCCGGAGGGCTGGGGGCCACCAGGCAGCAGTTTTACCTTCATTTTGAGACCAGATGACCGGACTCACCTCTTCCAACTCAAGTTCAGTATCCCATCTCTTTCTTTTAAGAGTCTTTTAAAAATTATTTTGAGGATCCTTTTCCAGAAGCCTCTTAAACAGATTTCCCCTTATGTCTTATTGGCCAGCACTGGGCCTAATGCAGTTACTTGCAACAGAAATGGTGCCACCATGTTTATCTTAGCATCCGGATTTATCCCTAGGGCTAAGAACAGAATTGTTCTCTCCTGGTTCCTATTAGGAAACGACAGACCCATCTCCCACACCCCTTGTGAACAAAATCAGTGCTCTCGCCACAAGATAGAAGAGAGGAATGGCTTTGTTTACTACAGTTATTTAGGAAAAGATGAGCATTTGCAGTAAGAGAGTAAGTTTACTAAGGGAGCTTGGAAGGCAAACAAGCAAAGTCTTCCTTTGCCTTTCATTACCTCCTTCTGGAATATAAGTGAATAAAAGTTCAATAATTGTAGTACTCAATAGTAATCTTCAGAGCATTCACAGAAAAAAATAAAAATGAGAGAAAGAGAAATTCTAATCAATTCTACTAATTGATGAGCTACTTATTTTTATTACCTGTCAGACTGCCTGATGTTAAGTCAGTTACCTGACTTCAGCATGCTTTAACAAAGTGCGTTACACTAGAACAGGCCAGCCTGTAATAAAAACAAAGTAAGTTTAAGTATATCTAAATTTTTTCCCAGTTTAATGAGTTACACATTGAAGATAGACCTTTGTACAGTTTTTTAATAGCACCAAAAATTATCTAGATGATTTATTACCCGAGTAATTTAGTGTGCACATCTGATTCCTCAATATTAAGCTAGTGAAGAATCATAAAAACTGCATGTTTTGCAGAAGCAGATGCATGCTGACAATTCTGAGGCATTTGAACATAAAACTTGTGTTAATGTTGCACACAAAGTAAGTAATTTGATGATCAGGCTCCTATTACAGGGGACTTACGGAAGGAGTAGAACAAAATGATTGAAAAGTAAAGTATTACCAACATTAAGATAAATTCTTTTTTAATAATTAAAGGTATTTTTCAAAATCGATTATGATTAAACTGGTCACCTAAAATTCATAATTCTACATCAGTGCTTAGAAAGAAGTAATGCACTGAAATTAGCATTAAGGTGTTGGCTGGTTGTTTTTATATATTTTGCATATAGTCAGTTACTGAGATTTTCTGGTTGATCAGTTCAGCCTTTTAATTATAAAATTAGCCCACAAGTTTTGGAAGCAATGAGCAATTTTAGATTGTCCATAATTTGTTTGTAGTTGATTTATGATTACATTTGTATGTCTAGCAAGAAGCCTTTAATGGTCCTCAAAATAATTTGTTTATAATTTGCTTGTAAGTAAAAAAAAAAAATTAACTGAAGTGCATATTTTTTCTCACAATTTTAGTATTTAAAGTGTGTTTATGTAATCATAACAGTATGCATATAATTGTGAAATATAATCAGGTTATGAAGAATCTGTATCCAACTTTTCATCTTGCAAAATGTATATAATTGATGAATACAGTTACTACATTGTTTCATAAATAAATAGTCTTGTTCAGCTAAAATGAACTATAATAGTTCTAATTTACCTCAAGTTTTTCTAAGACAAATAAATTGTAGTGTCACATTAACTTCCTAAATATGGCAAATTGACCTGCAATAAAAGGTTCTAGAGTGAGACAAATTAAACCTTCAACTTCCAACTTTGATTTCTAATATAATTCAAATTGTCACTGAAGCTTTTATTAAGAACAAAAATATATATTTAATTAAATAGTCTTTATTCTGTAAATGACTTATTTTCAGATGCACAATCATGAAATAATGAAGATTTTGATCAGATGTTTTTGTCTTTTTGCTTTTAAAGGTGTTTTCACAAGACCATTAAAACATCGCCTTCTGTCTAACATATGGATGAATTTTTTTTTATGCTTTTCTTTTTATGCTCTGAACTTGTATCTTTTCTTTTTCTATCTTTATTTTTTAAATTAGATTTCTACTTTTCTAACATCACAGGATAAACAACATCTTACAGAAGTTTTTATAATATTTTCCTAGTTAATGTATTTAGTATAAACTATTTTGGGAAATTTTTAAACAGATGACCCCAAGATCATTTAGAATCATGGGAAATTTATTCATCTGTGTATTGCTAAAGGCACAATCAGTTAATATTACCCCTTGGTAAGGCAGTTTGTCCTTACGTTAATTTATGTATACCCTTTGATTCAGAAATGATAACTATCCTCAAAACATCCTTTCCCCTGGGGGAAAAAAACTCAGAGTAATGTTTACTTATATCACTGTTCATAATAGCCGAGTGATAACAACCAAAATGTCTAGCAGTGAAACAATAGTGGCTAAGCAAATTAGGTGTAGAAGCCAGGCACAATGGCTCGCGCCAGTAATTCTACCACTTTGTGAGGCTGAGGCTGGCAGATCACTTAAGGTCAGGAGTTCGAGACCAGCCTGGCCAACGTGGTGAAACCTCGTCTCTACTGAAATACAAAAATTAGCTTGGTGTAGTGGTGTGTGCCTGTAATCCCAGCTACTTGGGAGGCTGAGGCAGGAGAATCGCTTGAACCTGGATGGTAGAGGTTGCAGTGAGTCAAGATGGCACTAGTGCACTACAGCCCAGGCAACAGAGCGAGATGCCATCTCAAAAGAAAAAGGCCAGGCGCGGTGGCTCAAGCCTATAATCCCAGCACTTTGGGAGGCCGAGACGGGCGGATAACGAGGTCAGGAGATCGAGACCATCCTGGCTAACACGGTGAAACCCCATCTCTACTAAAAAATACAAAAAAAAACCTAGCTGGGTGAGGTGGTGGGCGCCTGTAGTCCCAGCTACTTGGGAGGCTGAGGCAGGAGAATGGCGTAAACCCGGGAGGTGGAGCTTGCAGTGAGCCGAGATCTGGCCCACTGCACTCTGGCCTGGACGACAGAGCGAGACTCCGTGTCAAAAAAAAAAAAATTAGCCAGCATGGTGGCACACGCTTGTAGTCCCAGCTACTCAGGAGGCAGAGGCAGGAGAATCACTTGAACTCAGGAGGTAGAGGTTGCAGTGAGCCAAGATCATGCCGCTGCACGCCAGCCTGAGCGACAGTGAGACTCCATCTCAAAAAAACAAAAAACAAAAACAAACAAAAAAAAAACTAAGTGTAGATAATAAGGGGAATATTAATGTAATCATTAATAGTATTACCAAAATTTCTGTACAATGCTAGAGGAAGGGGGACAGAATTTTAAAAGTGTGTACATTGTAAGTGCATTTTCTCAAGATACATAGGCGTGTGGAATAAGTCTAAAGAATGTGCAAACATAAAGGTAGCTGTATTTTAAATTACAGGGTTTTTTTTTTTCTGTTTTCTCAGCTCCCTACATTTTTTTTTATTAATAATGAAAGATTTTTAAAAATGTATTGGGCTTATAAGTAGCCAATACTGTGCTGAAGGCCGAACAAAAATATTCATGTAAATTTATTTATTCAGTATCTTTACCCTTTCCTTCACAACATTATCAAGATCACTGAGTTAACCCAGGTGTGTGGGTACTTTTGGGTTTTAACAGGTACCAGTCAGTGGCCCAGACCTGGAGGGCAAGCACCTTCATCCCCAAGCTATGAAAACTCACTCCACTCCCTGGTAAGAGCCTCTTATACACCAATTTTATCTGATAGCTTAGAGTTTGTTTGTTTTTAGTAAATCTGGCATAACAGTAAAGAAACAGTAGGCTAGCATTGCACACGAATTCTTTGCTAACAAATGGCTGATTCAGTTGAACAATATAAGACACATTGGGTATGCCTTTTGCCATCTGTTCTTTGGGACATCAGGCTTCTGGTGTCAGGACAGCTGATGTTAAAATTTTGTTAGGAGGATTTTTGTTTCTTTGACAAATCTAGGGCTTAATCATTCTATACTTCTATGTCTACATATAAAGGGAAACTTTTTTTTAAAAGACAAGTAAAAGCAAGAGAATTTAATCCAGCAATGCAAAATTTTTACCCTTTTGTATTTTACCCTTTCTCATAATACTGTGTGTGGTTTATTACATTTCCATTAAAAATTTTAAGTGAATACCAGTGTTTTTTGTCATGAAAGTGTTATTTGCCATGTTTTCTTGTGGGAAAAAAAAAAAGTGTATTGTGGAAATCATACAAGCAAAACATTATTTAACAAAGCAGTAAAGGAACCTTCTAGATACTTGAGCGTGAAGAATTTGTGGGAGAATGTTGACTACTGTTGCTTTTGTATACTTGTATTTGTAATCCAGAATTACACGGTATAATAAAAACAAAATAAGGATGATTTGATGGAATGCTAAGTCATGCTCTCATTCGTAATTCCAGGTTGCAAAGAGAAACATTCTTTTTCTGTGACTAACAGAACATTTTAAATTGAAGGAACATTTGCTTTTCATGTATTTTGCAAGCAATTATAAGCAATGTGTGCTGTTTAGATGCTAACCTCGTAACTTCCCTGTTGAACCCCAGCCTTTTCATATCTTAATAAAATAGATCTCGCACGTCTTGGCGTTAACTTTACTAACATGTTATGCTGACATGCATATCAGCTATTTCCTCATCTCTTTTGGAGTTAATCTTAACCTGTGCTTTGCCTCCTGTTCTGTCTTGACTTTGCCAGAAAAATCGAGTTGAGCAGCAACTTCACGAGCATTTGCAAGATGCAATGTCCTTCTTAAAGGATGTCTGTGAGGTACTATTTCTTTTAGATGGTGCCTTTTTTGTGTTTCAATTAATTATACTTCCCATTATTCATTTAAAATCTTTAAGTTGTACAGACTCCAGTCTTTAAAAATCAAACAATTGACTATTTCAGTTTTTATCATAGTATATAGGAATACTTTTGTCTCTTATGTTGTTGAAAGTGATCCTTTTTAAAACAGCTCACTGGCATGTGCTTTTGATTTTTTTAATTCTAATATGTTTGTGTATGGGGCATGTGTGTATCCACACACAGGCAATACCATTTATTTAGTTTTGTCAAAGAACATATCTGGATGTGTTCACCATATAAGATACATGTGCTTTATATACTTAAGACAAAATTAAAACTTAAACTTACTGGATTTGAGGTCCCTTCCCCAAATTGCCATCATTCAAAGATCAGTATTAAAATATAGGTTGTACTTTTTTTTTTTTTTTTTTTAAGCAACTCTTATTGAGAAATGACATAGTGTCCTTCATCTTTTGTAGAGGCTAAAAGAAATAACCTCATGGTAGTTTGGTAAATTCATTTTATAAAGCAGTGATTTGTTTCTGAAGCTTTGAAAATTTAGCATAATCTACAGACAGATAGGCTTTTTTTGCTGTTGATTTATAGTTCAGGTGGTTGCTTTTGAAGCTACTTGATACTGCATTTCACTTGCTATCTTCCACATATCACATAGTAGGAAACATAGCAGTTAATGAATCTAACAGATGCCAGCAATAACCTCCATGTTTTTTTTAATCCATACAGCAGTCTCGAATGGAGGATCGTTTAGACAGACTGGATGATGCAATCCATGTGCTGCGGAACCATGCTGTGGGACCTTCCACCAGTTTGCCTACTGGTCACAGTGATATACACAGTTTATTGGGACCATCCCATAATGCACCAATTGGAAGCCTCAATTCAAACTATGGAGGATCAAGCCTTGTTGCAAGCAGTCGATCAACTTCAATGGTAAAATCGTGCTCATCTTTTTTGTAGTAAACCCTAAAGATTGTTGTCCTAAATGTCTTTAATGAAATCTTTGGGAAGAGGATCTTTCCGAAAGGAAGGTAAAGACTGACTTTTCAGAATTTTCTTTGCTGTCTTTGGCAGTAAAGTATTGGCTAAGTATTAGTCCATAAAATCTTCTTGTGACCTTGTGCAAAAAGCAGAAGCTTTCTACAAAGATCATTTTTAGCTTAAACTTGGATTTTTTTCCAGATGTGTAATAATTGGCACCACAGTTTTTGCCTTGAAATAGTGCATAGGAAATCTGAATAGCAAGAGTTCTGGTCTAGAAAAGTTGTTTATTGTAATTTAGAACCAGCCTTCAATGGTAGAAAGAATGTGAAACTGTAATTTATACAGGTCCAAATGTAAACTTTATTCCCAAACTTGGTGGGGATGTAGTTTTAAGAATGGCTGTAATTTCAGTAATAAATAAAGGAAACAATTTTAGATTAACCCACAAAGAGAATTTTTAAGAACTCAGTCCATCTTTTAAAAAAAAATGGTAATTTTTTAGAGGGGATGTTCATTCTACAGCCATACACATCAAAAATTCTGTGTTTACCATCTTACATTATTTTTTATTCAAATTATCTTTTAAAGAAATGAAATTCTTTTTGAACCTGATATTTTAAACTTATACCATGTGTTTGCATGTTTATGGCATGATTTTTAAGGTTCATTGCATGCTGTGAAATGTTCTTCTACGAAGCAGATTTTTAGGTGTAAACCATTACCTATCATCAAAATAATTATGCGCCCCAAATGCTGAAGGCTTGTATTCTGTAAGATAGGATTGGTTCCAGATTCTCACACTCACATATCATACACATACATATATACTCATTTTTGAGCCTCTGAAGTTAAACATCACACAAGGCTGCCTATTTTCTGAGAACTGTATTTTCAGCAGCATGGGTAACATTAGATGCCTGTTTTGTGTTCCTTTGTTTTTTTTAATGTCAGGAAATCTTGAAAATCAGTCTCCTTTTAAAGTACTTTTTATTGCTATTGATAAGCTAATATGTGTCAAAACATATGTAAGTTATTAAACTAGTAGAATGGGGAAATGTCACATGGCTCGCACCTGTAATCCCAGCACTTTGGGAGGCCAAGGCGGGAGGATTGCTTGGAGTTCCAAGACTAGCCTGGGCAACAAAGTAAGACCCCCATCTCTATAAAAAAATAAAAAAAAGTTAGCCTGGCACAGAGGCGTGTGCCTGTGGTCCCAGCTACATGGAAGTCTTAGGTGGGAGAATCTCTTGATCCCAGGAGGTCAAGGCTGCAGTGAGCCATGTTCGTGCTACTGCACTCCAGCCTTGGCAATAGAGCAAGACCCTGTCTCACCAAAAAAAAAGAAAGAAAGAAAAAAATATGATTTTATGGTATAATTAAAGGAATTTGTTACAAATATGAATGCAGAATATTAATAATTTGTTGAAATACTGTTTATCCTTATTTAGAAGCATGACTTCAAAATCAGTATGCTTGAATTTTAAGTTAGTCTCAGCAGCAATATTTGCAGTTCTTATTCCTTACCTCTTAATGATTTTTTAATTATTCACTTTTACTAGCTTACTGCTCCTATTCCAACTTATCAGCTACAGTATTTAATATGTATCTGGCTTCTCCCAGTTGGAGTTTGCATAAAATGGGACTTCTGTCTTGAGAAAGTTGTTTTTTTACCAATTTCAGATATTCCATAATAGGAAGGGAGACTTATCAAAATCTAGTCCTCCAAAGCCACCTAAAAACCTAATGCATTTTAGTAGGACTGTTAGAGGGAAAAATTCTTTCATTGGATGGCACCCTAAAACTTATAACTAAGAAAGTAGCTCCCACTATATGCTGAAGGAATGTACTGCCCACTTCAGAACAACAACAGAAGGTCTGGCAGGGATAGTTTTTTTGTTTGTTTTTTGAGATGGAGTCTCGCTCTGTCACCCAGGCTGGAGTGCAATGGCGTGACCTCGGCTCACTACAACCTCTGCCTCCCAGATTCAAGTGATTCTCCTGCCTCAGCCTCCTGAATAGCTGGGATTATAGGCACCTGCCACCACATCCAGCTAATTTTTCTATTTTGAGTAGAGATGGGATTTCACCATATTGACCAGGCTGGTCTCGAACTCCTGACCTTGTGATCCACCCAGCTTGGCCTCCCAAAGTGCTGGGATTACAGGTGTGAGCCACTGCACCCAGCCAGAGATATTCTTAAAAAGAAAAAAATCTCAAAGTAGTCTAGAAAAAATGGTCTCCTGAGACGTGAGGTGAGTCTGGCTTAGTCTGAGCTGCAACATTAGTGCCACAGCAGCTAGCCCAAGCTGTTGTTCAGTGTGTCTATCACGGCCTTCTCTTCAGTCCTTACCACCTTAGTGGGTACAGAGCTGTGGAAAATCTGCCAGAAATCATCTGCTGTTTTCATCTCATCCAGACACAATCAGTAATACTTTTAGCAGTGGAGATAAGATGTACCTGCCAGGCTTAGCCTCAAAATATAAAGTTATTAGCTGACAAAATCTGACACTGTTAGGTGAGTCAGTATTCATCTCCTGTCCTTCTGAAGTAAGCCTTTTAGCTGCTGAGTCCTCAGTTCTCAGCTTCAGCAAAAAGACCAAAGGATGGAATGAAAGGAAGATTAGTCTGCCACTGACTATCCCCTCAGAGTCATAGGCATCTTACTGAGGAAGACTGTCTTATCGTGGTGGTTCTTTTCCATGTCTGAGGACTTCCATTAGTACTACTGGGATCCCTTTGTTTACATGCTCAGCGCCCACCTGTATGGCATCAACTCTTCATATTCTTGCAGAGTGTGTGATTTTGGGAGCACGTTTTTGTAACTCTTGCCAACTGTCTCCAAGAGTTAATCTCCAGCTTTTATTTTCCCCTGGTCACAACCATACATCCTCCTAACTGATCATGACTAAGAAATAATGTGGTTTTACATTCTGGAATCAATTCCCCACCCTCCCTCCCCGCCTTGTTTTTGGTCTCTTAGAACTTTCCAGAAGTTTGTCTATCTTTTTCTGCATTCGCATAAGTTAAAAAGAAAAAAATCTCAAAGTAGTCTAGAAAAAATGGTCTCCTGAGACATGAGGTGAGTCTGGCTTAGTCTGAGCTGCAACATTAGTGCCACAGCAACTAGCCCAAGCTGTTGTTCAGTGTGTTTTAGGCTCCTGATAATGGAGGCTACGTGGCCAAACTTACAAAGTGATCACAGACACACTTGTTGATCAGCAATTTTGTACCACCGTATAGAATTCATGAGGTCAGCTGCTTTCAAAAACATTTGCTTTTCATTATTCCATTTGTTTATTGCAGAGAATAGAATTATTCTGATAAATGTAGGTATTTTCACGACCTCCACAGAACATTCAGATGACATTTTTGTTATAATGGAACTTTATCCTAATGGGCAGAATCCTAATTGTAGGGTTTAAATATATCACTTTTCCTCCAAGTATTTAGAAAAGGGTTCAATATGCTTTTTCTATAAAGGGCCAGAGAGTAAATATTTTCAGCTTTGTAGGCTATATAGTCTCTGTCACAACTACTTAACTCTGACAATATAATATGAAAGCAGCTATAGACAATATGAAAACAGATGGGCATGGATGTATTCCAATAAAATTTTATTTACAAAAACAAGCTCCTTTATTTACAAAAGCAAAGGTCAAGATTTGGCTACAGGCCAGACCTTGGGAATTCCTGATTTATAATATAAATTGGCACCCCAGCAGATATAATGGGGCTAGCATGTTTTTCTTTTTCTTGGAGCCTGTAACATTTGGCTTATGTTCATGAGTAGTTTGAGAGTTTTGTTGAAGTAATTGTAATACTTGAGGCGAGCCAAGACACACTGATAGTGGAAGAGTAAGAGTTGATGGCAGGATAAAAGTGGTACAGGCCAGGCATGGTAGTTCACACCTGTAATCTCAGCACTTTGGGAGGCCAAGCTGGGTGGATTGCTAGAAGCAGGAGTTTGAAACCAACCTAGACAACAAAGTGAGAACCTGTATCTACAAAAAAAAAAATTTTAATTAAGTGAGCATGGTGCCATACACCAGTGGTCCCAGCTACTCAGAAGGAGGCTGAGGCAAGAGGATTGCTTGAGCTCAGAAGTTTGAGGCTGTAGTGAGCTATGATCATACCACTGCACTTGAGCCTGGACAACAGAGTGAGACCCTGTCTCTTAAAAAAAAAATATATATATATATATATATAAATTTATTTATATGTATAATATATATTTAGATAGATTAGATAGATAGATAGATAGATAGATAGATAGATAGATAGATAGATAGATAGATAGATAGATAGATAGATTAGATAGAGGTACAGACAGGTCAGCTCCCAATCTGCAGTACAGACAAGTCAGTGATCAAGGCTGCTAGCAGTGTAAAGTTTACACAGACACAGTAACCATTTGGCCAAGCATTTCCTTGTCCTCATTAGTATTTGATATTGATATGTCATTTAAATTTTAAAACACGAAATCAAGAGTTTTTAGAACTATTGAAATGTCAGCATTTGGCTTTAGTTTTGTTCCCATTTATTTAGCTAAGGCTAAACTTTTAGAATAAACTACTGAGAAGAAAAATTTTTTAGTAGAAAACTGAAAATAAAAGGAATCACGAATTTTAGCAATGTATGGTGGCTTACACCTGTAATCCCAGCACTTCGGGAGGCTAAGGTGGAACTATTGCTTCAGCCTAGGAGTTCAAGACCAGCCTGGGCAACATGGGGAGACCTCATCTTAGCCATATGTGGTGGCTCATGCCTATAATCCCAGGTACTTGCGAGGAAGAGGTGAGAGGATCACTTGTTCCAGGAGTTCAAGGCTGCAGTGAGCCATGATCACACTACCACACTTCATCCTGAGTGACAGAGTGAGATTCTGTATCAATTTTAAAAAAAGAGAGAATCATGAATTTCATTTGAGCATTTCAAAGAGCTCTCTGCAGTGTAAAGTTTGTGTACATCCCATCGATTTATGGCTGTAATGCCTAAGTACCTAGGCCCAACAAGATAACTCCATCGAAGTACCTTTCTCTTTAATGAAAAGTACTGTTATTTCTCAATCAGACAGTAACTTCAAACCAAAACTAAATGAAATTCGAAGCATTTTGTACTAATGGAAACTTGATGCAGATCTAAAACAGTTTATTATTCATGACATAGGATAAAATTTTATCTGTGAGATCTTTTGATTTCATTGTTACAAGTCCTGATAAAATTTAATCCAGGCATTTCTCTTAGTTTCTGGTATTGCTTGGGTTTTTTGTTGTTAAGTGGTGGTTGAAGAAGTGACATATTCTTGTATGAGAGCATAGTAAATAATGTTAAATTATAAAATGTAAGTCTGCCTTATACAATCATTTAAAAATATAAATCATATCTGTTTTCTAAATTTTAAAGCAGTTAGAGAAACTATATGTTTCTTAGTTACAGGAGACTTAAGACTAAGTAAAGACTGATAGGCAAATAGGGTAATATTTTATTCAAAATTATCTTGGCATTTTTGTCATTTATCAAAATAAATTTGAAATCATTTTAATCTTCCATTTGGACAGTATTTAATTTTAGTAAAGGGGTTTGTAATACAGTAGAAGTTGTGTGTCTATGTTTCAACTGAGTAGAAGGATTTTACTTTTAACCACTCTTTTACTCTTTCCAAGTAATTTTTCCTAAATGGGCAATTTTTAAAATTTTTATTTTTATTAAGACTACATTATAGTGCTTTTTAAGGCTTTTGGTAACATTTTAAAATTCACAATTGTTCAAAATGGCAACTTTTTTTAAATTTGAAAAACGTAGAGGTGATACATTTATGGAAATATTTAAAAGGAACCATAACAAATGTAATACTACCAAGTTTCTAGTAAAACCTCTCTTCAGATAAATCAAAATCTTGGAGTAGGCAGTATATAAAGATCCTTTAACCAATCTGTAAATTAATAGTGATTAATTTAAATCATTAGTGTTCAGTGAATAGTACAAATTGAACAAATTATTAGAATAGAATTCAAAATCAAGAGGAATTCATACTGTTTTTCTGTTTGTCCCTTAATTCACAAGACCTCTTGTTAATCAACTAATTCGATTTAACATTTTTCCATTGTGAGTGCTAAAGCCATTGGCCAAATTAAATGGAAACAAGTCCATTGTTGGGTGCTCCCAGAAAAGTAAGGCCATACATAGATGGCGAAGATTGAGTATGCAGGATGGTGTCATTTAATGGCATGGGCCTTTTATTCTGAACTGGAGCTCTTCATAATCATTGAAACATAGAGGGTAGCAGGCCTTGGGGTTTGCCTTGCCCTGCTACTCCGCCAACAGCCGCAGCCTGTCAGCTGTATGCTAACGAGGTGAACAATTAAACTGAGTCCTATCTGGCTGGCCCCACAGGCTCTAGGCTCAGACAAAGAACTGTTTATACACCTGTTGTATGTGTAGACAGAGCCATTTGAATGTGGAGCTGCAGATTAAAGGGAAGACTTGGGAGCCCAGGAGAGCAAGGGTTAAAGAGAACTATAAGAACTGTGAAAGTCAAATTCTCCAGAAAATATATGAGGGCCATTTGCAAGGGGAATCAAGTTACAAAGAAAAAGTTCCTGCTAACTTCATTAACATGAAAAACTCCAGACTTCAAGCCTTCTTCTAGTCTGAGGCCTTTTTTTTAAAGGCTTATATTTTTGCTGTGTGTGCCAGTTAAATTTTTTCTTTTGTAAACTATGTTTAAGTTCATGTGAGAAAATACTTAGTTTGTATTATTCTATAGTGTAAAAATATTTGCTGGTGTTTCTGTTGCAAAACAAATCTAGCACTCTTTCTGATTTTCCTTAAGGGAAAAGTAAAATTTCTAAGATTTATTATTTAGATAATGATCAGACATTTTTTTAACAGTTGAGTTTTTAAAAAATCAAAGAATTATTTATACTGAAGTAAAAGGAAATCAGAATTCAGCAGATGTATCATCACTTAGATAAGTGAAAATTCAATTTGTTACTGTCAGTAGTATTGCCTTACATAGCTATAAAATGTTTCACATGTGTAACATACACTAAGTATACATATGTTTAAAATTTAAATTTTAGAAGGCTATTTCCTTTTAAATTACTTGGTGTGATAGTTCAAAATGTTATGTAAAAACAGAATTAGCACATATTGCCAGGGATCATCGAAGTTTCAAGTCCACATTATTATAAATACAAATACACCTCAGCTTTTACTTTAACTTACAATTATTTCCCCAGCCCATCAAAATTCTCCTAGATGTATTTAATCTTTAGAGTAGGCCTTATCTTCCAAGGTTCCAAAGAATTTGCAGCCATATATTGTGTTTGCCCATATCTATTTTTATAAAATGGGATTTTGAACTTCCTTTCCTCTTAGATCACTGAGTACTTCATAGTAAGAAAGCACCCTCGTTCGTTAAGAATAAACAAGACCATGATACCCTTGAAACAGAATTTCTTGAAACATTTTAAAAATAATTTGCTCTCTTAAATACAATTTTCACAGTCCATTTCTTTACTGATTGTTAGGTTGAGTACTTCAGATTCTTCTCAAGTTTTTTAGGGGAACAACTAAATACTGAAACTTTCTGAAAGTGGGAAGTGGGATGGAAGTCTGCCATAGTTTCTGTGGTCCCTTCCCAGCTTTAAGATTTTGTGATTCCAATACATGGTGAAATTGTGTGGTTTAGGAAAAGGGTGTAATGGATGCATGATTATTACCTAAGGGAGTAGTGACACAAATAGTGCTCAGCAATGACCAATCCTAAAATCGTTTTAAAAGTAACTATTGAATTAAATTTTAAAATCCACTAAATGGGCTTCTTAAAAATAAAGATGAGAATAAGTGTAAAACACAAACATTTCTTAGAAAGTGTGGTGGAAGAACGAATCTATTCTAATTAGATCTACTACCAAATGACCTGTATTACCTAAAATTTTGCTTTGGTTCCTTTTGTTTAGCTCACAGAAAAACCAAAGGATAAACTCGCATAGGGGTATTTGTTCCTCTTAGGGTAAAATCATACAAAGTCATGGAAGATAAAAGCTATATTAATTACTCAAGAGGGATTCAAAGCTTGGCAGTTTACTAGGATTGAAGGATTTATTGAAAAACAGTGGTTCTCATGTATAACTCCAGGCAATAAACCTATTTAATTAAAAACTTAATCTTCTAGTTGACACGTCTGCTACTATTCTAATAAAAACTTCATCTGTAACAAGTTTTTCTATGTATATTAATATTGCAATAGCTGACTGTTTGATGGTGTTTGCATGCTTTAGCTTTTCTATTTCAGGTTAACTGTGACTCATATAAGTTTGATTAAAGCTGAAAATAAAAATACATGCCAATTTTGCTGCCTAGCAATGCACAACTTTTGTTTAGTTCTTTTGTTGTTGTTGTTGTTGTTGTTGTTTGTTTTTTTGTTTGTTCGTTTTGTTTTGTTTTTGAGACAGTCTTGCTCTGTTGCCCAGGCTGGAGTTCAGTGGCGCGATCTTGCTCACTGCAAGCTCCGCCTCCCGGGTTCACACCATCCTCCTGCCTCAGCCTCCCAAGTAGCTGAGACTACAGGCACCTGCTACCATGCGCAGCTAATTTTTTGTATTTTTAGTAGAGATAAGGTTTCACCATGTTAGCTAGGATGGTCTTGATTTCCTAACCTTGTGATCCGCCTGCCTCTGCCTCTCAAAGTACTGGGATTACAGGTGTGAGCCACCGCGCCCGGCCTAAATTCTTTTAATTTTGTATTGCTTTTGTTGCTCTTTCAAAAATTTTGAAGGGAGACAGAGAAAAAATAAGATACTATATATGATAGAGGGGCAAACTTAGATAAATACTACTATTGCTTGGAATGTAGAAGTATTTTGTTCAATGCCAGTTCATGCATACTTTAATGTATTTAGGTATTATATGAAATAGATTTTCCGACTGATTATATAGGATTATTAATAGACCCTATGATGTGTAGTGCATTATGACTTATAGAATGCTTTATCAGCTCATTTGTTTCTCACAAACACCCTCTGTGGGATTTAAAATTTACAAATTAGAAGTTTCATTTTTAAAAAACGGTATGTGTTCTTTTGATTTAAAAGCAGTACTACTGTGAAGTATTAATATTTTGAAATTCTCCCCAAAAACCAGAGTAATGACATCCAGAAAAAGTTGCTGAAATCAGATGAGTGATACTGTTTTCTCTATTAAACCAAGTAGAATAATTTGGACAGTTATTGCCCCTGAACTATCTTGATCATTTTTTTATTTTTGGGTTTTTGTGGATTTTCTTTAACTTTAGGTTGGAACTCATCGGGAAGACTCTGTCAGTCTCAATGGCAATCATTCAGTCCTGTCTAGTACAGTCACTACTTCAAGCACAGACCTGAACCATAAAACACAAGAAAATTATAGAGGTAACTGTATTGTTGGTTTTCAGATTTAATGCAGACAGAGATATCATTTGAAACACTCTCACCTTTCTCACAGCTGGATTGACATCTGTGAATCAAAAGTCATTTAGGTGAGGGAATTCCAGATAGTACTGTGGAGAGCAGATATTTAGGGTTCCAACTGGCCCACCTAGGTTGACAATTACAGATACTTATTGGTGAATAGATCCACGTATAGACTATTGTTCAGTATTTACCAGTTATCTTTTACCTCTTCCTGTTCTGTCATGTCCCTCTTCCTCAGACATTTTCCCTCATGAATGTGTCTTCATGGTCCCTAGAGGCAGTGACAGATATTTCTGACTATACTGAGAGCTCTGAATGATGGAAGCTGTTGTTTTAGAGATTATCGTTTGATTGAAGAGACATACAGTTTCGATAAAAAACAAACTTGATCACTGCTCCAATAGAGCTGACAAATAAGTGTGAAGATAGAGCACTTAAAAGTGCAAATAAGATCACCAAAATAAAGTTCTCCCAGTTACATTTAACCGTGATGCCTATTTTACTGTGTATCCAGGAAGATGTTAAGCTTATGTCCTTTACCTCTGCAGCATCTTAGAAGTTAGTTTCTAAAATCCATTGTTTCTCATCCTTGTTCTTTTGTTAAATAGTGCCTGAAAGTGAGCATTAGACTGGTCATAGGGGTCAGACTTGTTCTTTTAAATATAAATGCTGTTAAAAAGCACAAGGATGTGGACATATTCTTTTCAGCTCTAAATAGTATACTTTCCTACATCTTCAAACCTCCATCCTAACCCTGTAACTGCTAAGGATATTCACCAGCTAGAAAGCTTTTTATTGTCTTAGCTCTAATTCATAAATGCGTCTCGTCTTTTATCTTTCCTTTGCCTCTTTGTTAGGTGGCTTGCAGAGTCAGTCTGGAACTGTTGTTACAACAGAAATCAAGACTGAAAACAAAGAAAAGGATGAAAACCTTCATGAACCTCCTTCATCAGATGACATGAAGTCTGATGATGAATCCTCCCAAAAAGACATCAAGGTTTCATCTAGAGGCAGAACAAGGTATTTGTTAGCATCCAGGTTTTAAATTTTACTCATTTTCCGTAGGTAAAAATACTTGAGAAGTTGGGTGTCATGCATTTATTAACTGCCAGCTATGTTCTAGATATCGTGTTAGGATTTTTGTGTATGTTGTCTCAATCACCATATCATCCCTATAAAAGAGAAGTATGTGAAGGTTTGATTTCAAAATTATGTTTTCCTTCATACTACACCATTTGAGGGACTATATATAAAATATAATTATATCTCTTCGCTCAAGTTGCTTAGTCTGTTAGACAAGTAGAAGGTAAAATAGCTAAAAGAAGTTAAATTGTGTGTTACAGACATTTAGATTTTATCAATTAGTATTTGAATATGGTCAGGTGTCACTTAACAACGGGATATATTCTAAGAAATGCATTGCTAGGCAATTTCATCATTGTGCAAACATACAGTATACTTTCACAAACCTAACCTGTTCCTAGGCTGTGTACCTGTATACCATGTTACTGAACTGAGTGCTATAGGCAATTGTAACACAATGGTAAGAATTTATGTATCTAAACACCTAAAAGGCACAGTAAAAATAAAAGATAAAAAATGGTACACCTGTATAGGGCACTTATCTTGAATAGAGCTTGCAGGACTCGAAATTGCTCTGGGTGATTCAATGAGCAGGTGGTGAGTGAATGTGAAGGCCTAGGACATTTCTGTACACTATTGTAGACTTTACAGACACTGTACATTTAGGCTATATTTCATTTATTAAAACATATTTCTCTTCGATAGTAAATTAACCTTAGCTTACTGTTTGTCTTTTACTTTAAAAACTTTTACATTATTTTTAACTTTTTGACTCTTGTAGTGATAGCTTAAAACACAAACACATTATATAGCTATACAAAAATATTTTCTTTAAGTTCTTTTGTAAGCTTTTTTTGTTTTTTTGTTTTTTTTTTGTTTTGAGATGGAGTCTCGCTCTGTCACCCAGGCTGGAATGCAGTGGCATCATCTCAGATCACTGCAACCCCCGCCTCCTGGGTTCAAATGATTCTCCTGCCTCAGCCTCCCAAGTAGCTGGGATTACAGGTACCCCTCACCACTCCAGGCTAATTTTTGTAGTTTTAGTAGAGATGGGGTTTCACCATGTTGGCCAGGCAAGTCTGGAACTCCTGACCACAAGTGATCTGCCTACCTCAGCCTCCCAAAATGCTGGGATTACAGGCATGAGCGACCGTACCCGGCCTTTGTAAGCTTTTTTCTATTTAAATTTTTTTTTTTACTTTTCAAACTTTTTTGTTAAAAACTAAGACACAAACACACATGTTAGCCTAGGCCTCCACAAGGTCAAGATCATTAATATCACTGTCTTCCACCTCCACATCTTGTCCCACTGAACATCTTCACAGGCAGTAACATGCAGGAAGCTGTCATCTCCTATGGTAACAAAGCCCTCTTCTGGAATACCTCCTAAAGGACCTGCCCTCAGGTCTTACAGTTAACCTTTTCTTTTTTTGTTGTTTTTTTGAGATGGAGTCTCGCTCTTGTCACCCAGGCTGGAGTGCAGTGGCACAATCTCAGCTCACTGCAGCCTCCGCCTCGCGGGTTCAAGCAGTTCTCTTGCCTCAGCCTCCAGAGTACTACAGGTGCCTGCCACCACGCCCGGTGAATTTTTGTATTTTTAGTAGAGATGGAATTTCGCCACGTTGGCCAGGCTGGTCTTGAACTCCTGACCTCCAGTGATCTGCTTGCCTTGGCCTCCCAAAGTGCTGGGATTACAGACGTGGGCCACCGCACCCAGCCAACTTTTTTTTTAAGTTGGAAGTATACCCTAATGATAAAAAGTATAGTATAGTATAGTATAGTATAGTATAGTATAGTATAGTATAAATAAACCAATAACATAACTAGTTATTATTATCAAGTACAGCAGGTCCTCAAAAAACATCATTTTGTGAAATTATGAGAAAAAAAATTGATTCCTAGCTGGAGCCTCTTTCATTGTAGAGTTTGCACATTCTTCCCACGTCTCCTCATGTGGGTTTTCTCTGAGTACTCCAGTTTCTTCCTTCACCCCGAAAATGTGCATTAGGTTGATTAATGTGTCTAAATTGTCCCAGTATGAGAGAGTGTGGGTGTGTGTGTGAGAGTGTGCCCTGCAATGAAATGGCATCCTGTCCAGGGTAGTTTCTGCCTTGCTCCCTGAGCTGCTGGGCTAGGCTCCAGCCTCCCACTGACCCTGAACTGGAATAATTGGGTAAATAATAATCTTACTTATTTTTATGAGTCTTTCTTAAATGTATGAATAGTTCACATTTATTTCATTGTTTAATATTATAAGTGTATTTTGGTCTTTATTTAGAAGTTTGGTGGTATTTCATCACCAGAAATGTACTCTAGGAACTTACCTCTTATTTATATCAATTAACCTATGATAAAACTGGTTTTATTGTATGTCATTTTGCATGAAGTTGCAGTTTCCAAGAACTGATCAATGACATTGAGGACTTGCTGTAGTGTGTACTGTACTTCATTGCATGCTTTTATACAACTGGCAGCACAGTATGTTTGTTTATATCAGCACCTGTACAAACAATGTATTACATGACTAATGTGCTGCAGCCTTACCACAGCTACATTACTAGATAGTAGACATTTTTTAGCTCCAATATAATAAGACCACTGTCATATATGTAGTCCTTCATTGACCAGAATGTTATTATGGGCTCATAACTGCATATTAATATAAGGGCTAAATATATGGTAAGACTGATTTAATTAAACAAGGGGTCTACAAATTATGGCCCATGGGCCTACCCAGCTCACTGCCTATTTTTGTTTTTATTATTTTATTTGTGTGTGTGTGTGTGTGTGTGTGTGTGTGTGCGCGTGCACATGTGTATTTTAAGACAGGGTCTCGCTGTCACCCAGGCTGGAATGCCATGGTGTGATCTTGGCTCACTGCAGCCTCAGCCTCCCAAGTGGCTGGGATAACAGGCAGGCGCCATGCCTGGCTAATTTTTGTATTTTTAGTAGAGACAGGGTTTCACCATATTTTCCAGGCTGGTTTCAAACTCCTAGCCTCCAGTGATCTGCTCACCTCGTCCTCCCAAAGTGCTGGGATTACAGGTGTGAGCCACTGCACCCGGGTGCTGCCTGTTTTTATAAAGTTTTATTAGAACACCACCATGCCCCATTCATTTACCCATTGTCTGTGACTGTTTTCATACTGCATTGCCAGACTAGAATAGTTGCCACAGAGACTATATGGCCCACCAAAGCTGAGAATATTTACCATCGGTCCTTCTCAAAAAATGTTTGTTTTTAACAAACATTTAAATAGTAATTTGAGAAAAGTATGAAAAAGGAAGTATTCTAGACAGAATGATGTCATGGAGTTTTCTAGAAAATGGACTTGACCTTGCTTTGAAGTGTGAATACAGACACATAGTACATTAGTTTCAAGTGATTTCCAGATTTTTCCTTCAAATTTTTCTTCCAGTTCTACATTAAAATTAGATGAGTTAGGCCAGGCACAGTGGCTCATGCCTATAATCCCAGCACTTTGGGTGGCTAAGGCAGGAGGATCACTTGAGACCAGAAGTTCAAGACCAGCCTGGGCTACATAGCTAGATTCTGTCTCTACAAAAAGTTATAAAAACCAGCGGGGCATGGTGGCAAACGCCCGTAGTCCCAGCTACTTGGGAGGGTAAGGCAGGAAGATTGCTTGAGTTCAGAAGTTTGAGGCTGTAGTAAGCCGTGATCATGCCACTGCGCTCTAGCCTGGCTCACACAGAAATGCTGTCTCTAAAAAAAAATACTTTTTTTGATGAAAATTTAAAAGTTAGATCATTTAGTATATTTGTGGTACACTCTATTTCTTGGCATACATACTCATTTATCAATGATATGTATATATGTTATACAGATTTAAAACATCGTTCTTTGTGGTGAATTATGGTGCAATGAGGATAGTAGATAAAACTAAAAGAAGCAGAATGGTCCTTTCTGTCATTCACGTACTTAAAACGGGTCCTTTTGCTCTTTTGACGTTCTCACTGTTTTCAACACCTAAACATTTATCTTGGGAAAAAGGAAATCTTATGATGTTAATGTTGTTACTTTAATATGCATTGTACTCAACTATCAGGGGCATAAGGAAGGAAAAACTGTGTCAAGGAATTCAGAGACCACTCTCTGGAGGCATCTTAACTCTTACATAGTTTTCATTCAAATAGAATTTTAAGGGAAACAATTTACATCTTTCCTCTGTATTCATCATCTTATAGATCAGGAATCAGCAAACTTTCTTTATAAAGGCCCAAATAGTGAGTATTTTAGGCTTTATTGGACATACAGTCTCTGTCACAGCTACTCACCTCTGCCATCATAGCACAAAAGTAGCCAAAGTCAAATGGGTATCGCTGTTCCAATAAAATTTTACTTACAAATACGGATGACCAGCTCATAGATCAGTTTGCTGACCCATATTATAGGTCATCAGAAATTAGGAGGCAGCGTAATAGGTTAGTAATAGTCCATAATAATGAATAGGTTAATAACATGACCCTTGGACAAAATAAGGGTTTGAATTCTGGTTCCATTACATACTTGCCAAGTGACTTTGGGCAAGTCTTTGAGCTCAGTTTCTTCTTCTCTAAAAACAGACTTTCTGTTACAGGATTCTTGTAGGAATAACCTGAAAATGATGCATGTAAAACCCTTTGCACACTGTATAGCACGCAGTAAGCACTCAATAACGATGCTGTATCTACTGTTACAGTGGTAATGTTATGGTGGTAATTTTAAGTGTATGGTGTAGGCTTGCTTCCATGGAGCACTGACCTGACATCTCATCATTATACTGCCACCAATTAGCTATGTGATCCTAGGTCTTGAAGTGGTTCTCAGCCCTGCTGCACAGACCCTGGAACATTTTAGAAATACAGGTGCCTAGGCCCCAACCCAAACTCACTAAATTAGTGAGTCTAGCATCCCTGGTAGTGAGATCTGGAAAGCTGTGTTTTTTAAGTGCTCCTGGAGATTCTAGTGAGTGGCTATCTGTGGACACCATTGGGCTCATTGATCTTTAAAAGCCCTTTTGAAGTCAAAGAACCATGATTTTCTTTTGTCAAAAGAATGCATTTATATAATTCTTAGTGATTAGTAGGTAAGATATTACATACTTTTTAGAGACAGGGTCTCTGTTTGTCACCCAGGCTAGAGTACAGTGGACAATAACCTCAAACTGCTGGACTCAGGTAGTTCCCCCATGCCCGCCTCAGCTTCCCAAACCACTTAGGTTACAAGCATGAGCCACCATGCCTGGCCTGTGTACTTGTTCTTTTATTAGAATACTCAGGGTATTAAAGAAGAGGTAAAAATGTCTGATATTTTTGCACATTATTTCAAGGTTCTGAGAAGCCATGGTCAGTAATTTATATCTGAATCATAAATAGAACTTTCTATAAGCTGTTACAGAGCATCTCCCTCATATTTTTTTTCTGATTATGTAGTCTATTTTCATTACAGAAATTTAGAAAATACAGAAAAGTATACACAGAAATCACAAGAAACCCCACTATTCAGAATTAACCACTGTTTACTTTTTTTTTCCCCCCGATAAGTTCTAATTTGATTTCACTGTGGTCTGAGAGACAGTTTGTTGTGATTTCTATTCTTTTACATTTGCTGAGGAGTGTTTTACTTCCAATTATGTGGTCAATTTTAGAATAAGTGCGATGTAGTGCTGAGAAGAATGTATATTCTGTTGATTTGGGGTGGAGAGTTCTGTAGATGACTGTTAAGTCCACTTGGTCCAGAGCTGAGTTCAAGTCCTGGATATCCTTGTTAATTTTCTGTGTCGTTGATCTAATATTGACAGTGGGGTGTTAAAGTCTCACGTTATTATTGTGTGGGAGTGTAAGTCTCTTTGTAGGTCTGTAAGAACTTTCTTTATGAATCTGGGTGCTCCTGTATTGGGTGTGTATATATTTAGGATAGTTAGCTCTTCTTGTTGCATTGATCCCTTTACCATTATGTAATGGCTTTCTTTGTCTCTTTTTATCTTTGTTGGTTGAAAGTCTGTTTTATCAGAGACCAGGATTGCAACCCCTGCTTGCTTTTTTTATTTTTTTTTTTTTTGTTCTGTTTGCTTGGTCGATCTTCCTCCATCCCTTTATTTTGAGCCTGTGTGTGTCTTTGCACGTGACGTGGGTCTCCTGAGTACAGCACATTGATGGGTCTTGACTCTGTCCAATTTGTCAGTCTCTGTCTTTTAATTGGGGCATTTAGCCCATTTACATTTAAGGTTAATATTGCTATGTGTTAATTTGATCCTGTCATTATGATACTACTGGTTATTTTGCCCATTAATTGATGCAGTTTCTTCATAGCGTCAATGGTCTTTACAATTTGGCACATTTTTGCAGTGGCTGGTACCAGTCGTTTCTTTCCATGTTTAGTGCTTCCTTCAGGAGCTCTTGTAAGGCAGGCCTGGTGGTGACAAAATCTCTCAGCATTTGCTTGTCTGTAAAGGATTTTATTTCTCCTTCACTTATGAAGCTTAGTTTGGCTGGATATGAAATTCTGGGTTGAAAATTCTTTTCTTTAAGAATGTTGAATATTGGTCCCCACTCTCTTCTGGCCTGTAGGGTTTCTGCTGAGAGATCCGCTGTTAGTCTGATGGGCTTCCCTTTGTGGGTAATCTGACCTTGCTCTCTGGCTGCCCTTAACATTTTTTCCTTCATTTCAACCTTGGTGAATCTGACAATTATGTGTCCTTGGAGTTGCTCTTCTTGAGGAGTATCTTTGTGGTGGTCTCCGTATTTCCTGAATTTGAATGTTGGCCTGCCTTGCTAGGTTGGGGAAGTTCTCCTGGATAATATCCTGAAGAGTGTTTTCTAACTTGGTTCCATTCTCCCCATCACTTTCAGGTACATCAATCAAACGTAGATTTGGTCTTTTAACGTAGTCCCATATTTCTTGGAGGCTTTGTTCATTTGTTTTCACTGTTTTTTCTCTAATCTTCTCTTCTCGCTTTATTTCATTAATTTGATCTTCAATCACTGATATCCTTTCATCTGCTTGATCGAATCAGCTATTGAAGCTTGTGTATGCTTCACGAAGTTCTCGTACTGTGGTTTTCAGCTCCATCAGGTCATTTAAGGTCCTCTCTACACTGGTTATTCTATTTAGCCATTCGTCTAGCCTTTTTTCAAAGTTTTTTGCTTCCTTACAGTGGGTTAGAACATGCTGCTTTAGCCTGGAGAAGTTTGTTGTCACTGACCTTCTGAAGTCTGCTTCTGTCACCTTGTCAGACTCATTCTCCATCCAGTTTTGCTCCCTTGTTGATGAAGAGTTGTGTCCCTTTGGAGGAGAAACAGCGTTCTGGCTTTTGGAATTTTCAACCTTTCTGCTCTGGCTGGGTAGATAAAACCCCACAAAGATAAGGTTTTATCTGCCTTTGGTTTTTGATGTTGGTGACCTACAAATGGGGTTTTGGTGTGGATGTCCTTTTCGTTGATGTTGATGCTATTCCTTTCTGTTTGTTAGTTTTCCTTCTGACAGACCAGCCCCTTAGCTGCAGGTCTGTAGGGAGTTTGCTGGAGGTCCACTGCAGACCCTGTTTGCCTGGGTATCACCAGCAGAGGCTGCAGAACAGCAAATATTACTGCCTGATCCTTTCTCTGAAAGTTTCGTCCCACAGGGGCACCCGCCTGTGTGAGGTGTCTTTCGGTCCCTCCTGGGAGGTGTCTCCCAGTCAGGCTACATGGGGGTCAGGGACCCACTTGAGGAGGCAATCTGTCCATTATCGGAGCTCGAATGCCATGCTGGGAGAACCACTGTTCTCTTCAAAGCTGTCAGGCAGGGCTGTTTAAGTCTGGAGAAGCTGTCTGCTGCTTTTTGTTCAGATACGCCCTGCCCCACAGGTGGAATCTAGAGAGGCAGTAGGCCTTGCTGGGCTGCAGTGAGCTCCACCCAGTTCGAGCTTCCCTGCCACTTTGTTTACACTGTGAGCATAGAACTGCCTACTCAAGCCTCAGCATGGCAGATGCCCTTTCTCCGGCCAAACTTAAGCATCCCAGGTCAATCTCAGACTGCTGTGCTAGCAACAAGCAAGGATCCATGGGCCTGGGACCCACTGTGCCAGGCACGGGAGGGAATCTCCTGGTCTGCTCGTTGCAAAGACCATGGGAAAAGCGCAGTATTTGGGCAGGAGTGTACTGCTGCTCCAGGTACAGTCACTCATGGCTTCCCTTGGCTAGGAAAGGGTAATCCCCCAACTCCTTGCGCTTCCTGGGTGAGGCGATGCCCCGCCCTGCTTCAGCTCACCCTCCATGGGCTGCACCCACTGTCCAGCCATTCGCAATGAGATGAACCAGGTACCTCAGTTGGAAATGCAGAAATCACCCGTCTTCTGCATCAATCTTGCTGGGAGCTGTAGACCAGAGCTCTTCTTATTCGGCCATCTTGGAAGTGACCCACCTCAACAATGTATTTTTTTAAAGTGTTGTGTTTTTGTTTTGGATCAGCTTTATTGAGGCTTAATACACATGTAATAATAAAATTCACTAATTTTAAATATACAGTCTGTATGTATGTTAAAATGTGTATATTTTGTCATTTTGACAAGTGTAAAAGTTATATAACAGCCACCATATTCATAATGTTGAATATTTTCACCACCTCAAAAAATGTCCTTATTCCCCTTGGTAGTGAGTCCCTTTCCTCAATCCCATGGTCCTTGGCAGCCATTGATCTGCTTTCTGTTACCATAGTTTTGTCTTTTCTAGAAGTTCACGTAAATGGAATTGTAGAGTATGTATGTGATCTTTCATGACTGGCTTTTTTTACTTAGCATAATCTGCAGCTTGATTTTAGAAACTACATAACGGTGCATTGTCTGAATGTACTATGATTTATTTAACCTATTTCCTATTATTAGATCCCAATATGTTTCTAATGTAAATAATTCTGTGATCATCTCCTTTTACATAAATTTCTATGTGCATCTCTAATTATATCCTTAGGATGAATTTCCAAAGTTGGAATTGCTGATCAAGAGGTAATAAACATTAAGGCTCTGGATTCATTTTGCCAATTTGCCCTTCAAAAAATTGTGTCTTTTCTCCCGTGTTTTATAATCATCACCACTGATGATAATCTCTCTCTAGAACAAAAAATAGCCATTTTCTGAGATACTTCTCTCAATCTGTATCTTAAGCTTTCCTTCTTTCTTCTTACCAGGTAACCGCCAGAGTATATTTAAGAGCATAAGCTAAGTAAATTATACATTCATGTACTAGGAGGGCTTTCAAACTGTAATGTGTGTATCAGTCATCTGGGGAACATGTTAAAATGCAGCTTCTAATTCAGTAAGACGGGAGTAGAACCTGAGAGATTCTACTCCAGTATTTTTAATAAGCTCCCAGTAATACTGATGCTGCTGATTTGTGGATCACATTTTGTGTAGCAAGGTGCTGGTATATTATGTAATTGTTGATCTTATATTTATGAAGAGTTTCTGGAGAAATCTTTATGCTATAATGTGCAATGAAAAATGCACTTCAGAGTGTGTGTATGTGGTATATTTCAACTATATGACTGCATATGTGCATTGAAGAAAAATTGGAAAGGAATATACAGTCATGTTAACTGCACCTATTACAACTGTTTACAAAATTTATAGGTAGTTTTCATATCCATCTTTACACTTTATAGTTGTGCACAATCAGCATATCTTACTTTATAGGGAACCTAATAGACTTTGTCGTTACTTTATTTTCTAGCAGTACTAATGAAGATGAGGATTTGAATCCTGAACAGAAGATAGAAAGGGAGAAGGAGAGGCGGATGGCTAACAATGCCAGAGAACGCTTACGCGTGCGGGATATTAATGAAGCATTCAAAGAGCTTGGCCGAATGTGTCAACTTCACTTGAAGAGTGAAAAACCCCAAACAAAACTCCTTATTCTTCATCAAGCTGTGGCAGTCATCCTTAGTCTAGAACAGCAAGTCAGAGGTAAGTAGGTTTAGCCGAGATGTATAACTGTTCTGCTTCAGATGGGCAGACATTTCTGTTTATAGTTGCTCTTCTGCTTGGGGAAGTTGTTTGTTATTTCTCCCAGTACTTCTGCTACTGTATCATCAGGGTCGTTTTTCTTGTATTCTCACCTCTGTCTCACTGTATTACCCAGTATCTGTGGGCTCAGTGTTCTCGACCATTAGAGAGTAATTCTGTGAAACAAAGCAGAGAACAAACAGCCTCTACCTGCTGCTCAGCAGTAGTGCTTTGTGTCCCTTTGCTCTGGTTGCTTCTGATCTCTCAACCATCAAATTTACCTGCCTGGACCTGCCCTCCTCCCTGCTCTTTATGTGTTTCCTACTTCTCTGTATTCATTTTCTTGCCTGCTCTACTTTAGAGTATCTACCATGCCCTGGTGGTTAATAGGATGCCTTGTCATGGTCCCTTCTGCCTTTGCCAGATACCTTTACACCCATATAAATAAGGTCTCAGGGCTTCTTTGTTGACCCCAGACCAGGAACACCAAAAACTTTTTGGGCTAACATACATTGGCATGCCTGTGTGTCCTTAAGGGCAAAACAGCTCACCCACTGCTGACTCACTTTCATTTTTCAGGAAGTTTGTTGCAGCCTTGAAGAACCTTTGAAACTTCATTTGTTCAATGTGTATTTATTGCATACCTCCTGTGTTCCAGCCAGCTATGTCCTAGATCCTGGGTTATCAAATAATAGAAACTTCTTGTCTTTAAGAGGTTTTACCATCAAGCTTGAGTTTCTCCATATACTTACATATTGTCTTAAAATATCCTAAGCCTTTTTGCAAGGAATTCATAGATGTGGCCCTAGGTTCCAGATCTGACCACTAGTCTCTCTGAGAGGAATTCTTTTGATTTTGTGTGAAGAAGGTTCAAAAAAGAATAGGGTGGGCAGATGCTTGAAAACTACAGCCATGGAGCCTCAGCATAGATTGCAGAATGGGTACTCTTTCTTAGGAAAACCAGAGTTAGAGAACTTAAACAAACTTGCAGAAATATATACAGTAGTAGTTAATTCATCCACTTCCCTCCAATATATTTAATGAATAAGAATGAGGGATAGATCATTTTGTGTATAATCAACCTAACGTTAAAAATGGATACTTGCTTCTCTTCTCCCAAGGTCCTTGAAATATCTGTGGAGTATAAATGTTAATGAAACCTAATCTTCAAAGAGTTATAGACTCCCTTGGGATATCCATAAGGAGGCAGATTGTTACCCACTCACCTGTGGCAGAAGCAGTGGTTCCTTGAACTACTGATACCTCCTGTCACTTTACCAATGTTTTTTTTTTTCTTGAATTGTGTCTGACACCCTTTGTCTCGCTCTGAAGGCAGCAAGGCACCTATGTTCAGTAGTTCAAGTACACTCCTCCTCCTCCTCTTCAGCCCAGGATATCTTCTACCCTGACCTCACCCAGCCATTTATTGTTAAAGCCACTGCCTCCATCTCAGCTGTGAAAATCTTACTGTCTGGTCAACAGGAGTACCAGAATTTATTTTAGTACACAGCATCTTTTCCTCCTGTAGTGCATTAGAATCAGAATGCAGTCATTTGTGTTTTAAAAAACTTTTTTTTTTTAAACACAGAGATACCTACTTCAGATCTAAGCCATTAAAACGAGAAATACTTCTGTGTTTGAAAAACACAAACATAAATAAATAAAACATAAATTCTACCATGCCTAGATGGACCTTATTCATTTGTAACATTGGAATTTGCGGTGGTTCCATGTGGGCACCTAGAACAGAAAAGCTGAGTCTGAGAGAAAATCTATCATCTAGGCTTTCTTACTACTGACTTTCTGGTCTGTTATGGGTACTGACTATTTCATACAGTTCTGCAAAGCTCTGTCTAAGGAGTCTTTGATGAGAGTTTGAACAGATTTCAAATACACTGAACTGTAACTTCGTTAGGGATTGCTTTGATATTCAGAAAAGCCTACTCCCCTGCCTTCAGGCTGGGCTTGAAGCCTTGTCTTAGGACTTTACATAAAAGCCCAGGGATCTTTGTAAGACATGTATGTGTGTATGTATGTATGTAGGTATGTATGTATGTATGTATGTATAGATGATCTCATTATTGTCCAGGCTGGTCTTGAAATCCTGGCCTCAAGCATCTATAGGCTTGAGCCACCATGCCTGGGCTCAGGCTCCTTGAAGGACACTATGGTGGCTGTCATATAGGGTTTAGAACCCTTCATACAGGCCACAGTACCTGTGCCTTGTCTTTGGCAACACCTTCAGAGTTTTGTATAGCCACTGTCTTTTCCTTGATTTACCTATAGTTTTGAGTTATTTTGGTGACTTGATCACTTTTGAGAGCCTCTTCATCCCTACAGGGACCCTCCTTCGCAGTCCCTGATCCAGCACTTTCTGTAAAATCAGCTTTTGTTTACATGACCTATTTGGGCATCCTCTGCACTCGGGCTTCCCTTCTGGTTTGGGATGATGCTTCAAGACTGTATCTGATTGTGACCCAACCTGTCACAATCCCTGGATAAGTAGTTTTACCAGGAGGCAAGCTGACCCAGGTCTAGCAGTTCATCCCAGAGAAGAGTGAGAAGAGTGGCTTCTCTTCTAAGCCTCAGATTGTGCCAGAGCATTTTTTGTGCCTTGTTGCCCCACCTGTCAAACCCTAAGTCCCCACTGCCAATTTTAGCTTTTCCATTTTCCTGACTACGTTATTTGTACCTTTGCCATTTTTATTAAACAAATGACCTTCAAGTTTGTACTGTCGGCATTACTCAGGACTCAGTGGTTAAACATTTCCTCCTCTCAAGCTCTTTCACAGGTCAGCTCAGTCAGCTCACTGTTCTTTTGATAATTTAGTGATAAGAGAACTATTAGATTTTCAGTTTCCTGTTCTCCAAGTGAGTTTGAAGATAAATGGTCTAGGACAGTGGTTTTGAAATCTGGCTGGTCCCAGAAGCACCTGAAGCTTTTCTTTTCTCAAACAGTTCCAAACCTTGCCCCCAGGGGATTCTGGTGCAATGAGATGGTTAAATGTGGTAGACTTAGCATATGCAGTGATGATACTACAGTCTTTCCTACATCCCCACTAACATAAATAAAAATGACATTTATTTTAACCCACAGTGACAAATGAGAGAGGAGACCATAGCAGATGAAATAGCAAAAGCTGCATGTAGGATAGAAAGTCAATGGAATAGTGGTACTTACTTATTTGTTTCTAAGTACCAAAGAATACATGTCTCAAGAGTGGTAAGATCTAATCTTGTGCTAAACACATTGATTTCTTAAATGCCCTGAAGTTAAAATACATAATCATGAAATTTCAGGGCATTAGGGTAAAAACAATATTCTAAAGCTTCTGGAGATAAAATATAAATAGCTTACAGATAAAGAAACAAGAATCAAAATATCATCAGCGTTCTGGACAGTAGTACTGGATTCCAGGAGATAGTGGAGCAGTACCTTCAAATTTCTGAGGAAAATAATTTCAACCTAGAATTCTTTTTTTTTTTTTTTTTTTTTTGAGACAGAGTCTCGCCCTGTCACCCAGGCTAGAGTGCAGTGGTGTGACCTTGGCTCACTGCATCCTCTGCCCTCTGAGTTCAAGTGATTCTCCTGCCTCAGCCTCCTCCATAGCTGGGATTACAGGCACACACCACCATGCCCAGTTAATTTTTATATTTTTAGTAGAGACAGGGTTTTACATGTTGACCAGACTGGTCTGAAACTCCTGACCTCAGGTAATCCACCTACCTCAGCCTCTCAAAGTGCTGAGATCACATACGTGAGCCACCACACCTGGCCAGTTTCAGCCTAGAATTCTATACGTTGCCAGACAATCAAAGGTGAAAGTAGAGTGAAACTATTCCACATAAGCTGGGTGTGTGCCTGTATAGTCCCAGCTACTTGGGATGTTGAGTCAAGAGAACCACTTGAGCCCAGGAATTTGAGGCTGAAGCGAGCTATGATCATGCTGCTACACTCCAGCCTGGGTGACAGTGCCAAGTCCACCCTGTCTCTAAATAAAAATTAAGTTGGCAGCCGGGCGCAGTGGCCCACACCTGTAATCCCAGCACTTTGGGAGGCTGAGGCGGGCAGATCACGAGGTCAAGAGATCGAGACCATCCTTGGCAACATGGTGAAACCCCGTCTCTACTAAAAATACAAAAATTAGCTGGGTGTGCTGGTGCACACAAGAAGTCCCAGCTACTAGGGAGGCTGAGGCAGGAGAATCGCTTGAACCCAGGAGGCAGAGGTTGCAATGAACCAAGATTGCACCACTGCACTCCAGCCTGGCGACAGAGTGAGACTTCGTCTCAAAAAAAAAAAAAAAATTGAGTTGGCTAGGCACCGTGGCTTATGTCTATAATCCCAGCACATGGGAGGCCAAGGCAGGAGGATCGCTTGAGCCTAGGAGATGGCTTGAGACCAGCCTGAGCAACATAATTAGGCCCCATCTCTTAAAAATTTTTAAAAATTAGCTGGGCATGGTGGCTCACATCTGTAGTACCAGCTGCTTGGGAGGCTGAGGTGGGAGGATCGCTTGAGCCCTAGAAGATTGAGGCTGCAGTGAGCTATGATTGTAGGACCACACTCCAGTCTGGGCAGCAGAGTGAGAACCTATCCCAAAGAAGGAAAAAAAAAAAAGATATTTCAGATATGCAAATCCTTTAAAAATTTACCTTCCTTGTACATTCTTTTAAAAAATAGAGACAGGGTGTCACTGTGTTGCCCAGGGTGGTCTCAAACTCCTGGCACAAACGGTCCTCCCACCTCAGCCTTCCAGGTAACTGGAACTGCAGGCATTAGCCACCACACCTGGCTCATGTATATTTCTTCAGAAAGCATCTGGAACATATGCTTTAGCCAAATAAGTGCATAATCAACAAAGACAAATGCTATAGAATCCAGGAAACAAAGGATTTAACATAGAAAAACAGCAAAAAGAAATCCCATGACAAGAGCTACTGGGCCTAGAGAGCAACTAATCCATTGAAAATTGAATATTATTAGCAGCAGAAGAAAGGTTTCCAAGGAAAGAAAATGGAATTAATTGATAATACGATGTGTTCAAGATTAGGAAAATATATTGATAGACATTTGTTAGATCTCTTGGAGCATTCAGTGGTGGGGTTGGGGAGATGGAATTTGCATTACTAACATGAAAAAACAAGTAACTATAGGAAAAATAAACAGTTATATGAGCAAGGGAGCAATTACTGTAAAAAAAAAGTTTTTCTTTCTCTTTTTTTTTTCCAAGTTAAGGTCAGATGGGCAATGTGCTGAGGTCATAACAAATTTGGAGGGTGGCACATCTCACACACACTCGTAAACACCCAGTCATCATGCTCATGAACTACAAAAGGATCAAATCTTTCCTCCCTCCCTCCTTCCCTCTCTCTCCCTCCCTCCCTCTCTCTCCCTCTGTCCCTCCCCCTCCCTCCCTCCATCTCTCTCTCTCTTTCTTTCTTTTTCTTTTCTTTCTTTTTCTTCTTTCTTTCCTCCTTTTTTCTTTTTCTTTCTCTTTCTTTTTGTCTTATGCTTTCTTTCTGCCTTTATTTCTTTCTTTTTCATTCTTTCCTTGTGTCTTCTTTCCTTCCTTTTGTTTTTTCTTTCTCCTTTCCTTTCCTTTTTTTCTTTTCTTGTCTTGTATTTTCTTTTCTTTCCTTTCCTTTTCTTTCTTCCTCAGGGTTTTGCTCTCTTGCCCAGGTGGGAGTGCAGTGGCACAATCATGACTCACTGCAGTCTTAACCTCCCAGGCTCAAGTGATGCTCCTACTTCAACCCCCTACGTAGCTGGGACTACAGGCAGGTACCAGCATGCCTGGCTAATTTTTAAATTTTTGTAGAGACAGGGTCTCACTATCTTGCCCAGGCTACTGTAAAATTCTTACTTCGGCAGCTATCTCCATATAGTCGTAATAACATAAATATTTTCCTAGTCATAATAATGTCAGAAGTGACTAGTGAGTTAGCCAAAAGTTTTGCTATAAACATGTTGCAAAGTTGATGTTATAAGAGAGTGAAGTCCTCAGCTACATAAGAAGTCAACAGATTGAATTCCCCTAATTGAAATTTTGGAAGACATATTTCTCATGCCCTGCAGGTAATGAGAAGTACCAGACATTTCTGGCTACTTAACACACGTTTGCTGTGGTCTTCTGTCTCACACCAAGAGGTATGAAAGAGTAGCCTTAGCTTTTTCTGAAGCAAAGTTGTGTATTTACTTCACATTTCCTAGAGTCTGCCATAGTATTGTTCCTCCTGCCAGAAGTGTTCTTTGTCTGACTCTAGGAATCTGGAAAATCTTGCCTAATTTACTGAGTTTTTGGTGCTGGTCCTTCCCAGCATTTCTCATCATGTCTCTCAGATCCTGGTGTGATAGAGTCACTGTTAGCTAAGAGCAATTTTCCATTATAAAGAGAAATGTGAGCCTTTTTTCAGTTGGAAAATTTTCACATCTCACGTTCTCCTCTTAAGTTTTACATACTAATTTATGCCCTCTTCTCAGTCTCTCGGGTCGTTATATGAGACTTAACCTCCACAGTCTCTCTTTTATTTTTTTTTGGAGACAGAGTTTCGCTCTTCTTGTCACCCAGGCTGGAGTGCAATGGCGCGATCTCAGCTCACTGCAGCCTCCGTCTCCCTAGTTCAAGTGATTCTCCTGCCTCAGCCTCCCGAGTAGCTGAGATTATAGGCACTTGCCACCATGCCCGGCTAATTTTTTGTGTTTTTAGTAGAGACCATGCAGGCTGGTCTCAAACTCCTGACCTCAGGTGATCCACCTGTTTTGGCCTCCCAAAGTGGTGGGATTACAGGCATGAGCCACCGCATCCGGCCCACAGTCTCTTATAAAAAACAAACTGATGAAGGACAAACTCTTTATTTGTTAGAGGTGCACAACTACTTATTAAGAAAGTAGCTCTTAATATTTTTTACATAATGATGAACATGGTATTTTCTCCTACTAGTTATCCTGCTACAGTAACTAAGAGTATATCTTCCTTCATTCATTCATTCTTCTCATAGTTGTTTAGGCTCTGTGCCTTTCCATAAATACAAGGGCTTAGAAAATTAGAACTCTAAAATGAAATTTTATTAATACGCATCACTGGTAGTCAGGAGTCAGCTAAGTTTACCGTAATGAAGTTTTGTTTACTTTTTTAAAACTTCAATGCAAGCTATAAATGTTGATTGAAATATATACATTCAAATCCACTTTTACCTTACTTTAAAGGGAAAGCCAGCACAGTGGCACTTGCTGGTAGTCCCAGCTTTTTGACAGGCTGAGGTGGGAGGATCCTTTCAGCCCAGGAGTTGAAGGCAAGCCTGGGCAACGTAGTGAGACCCCATCTCTGAAAAAATGGTCAGGGGTGGGGTGGAGACATGGAAAAAGGAGAGCTGTAATAATGATACATCGGCTATGCCCTCATTTCAAGAAAACCTGACATAAAATATTACAACTTCTAAAAAATACTATTTTCATTCCATACTAATTACAAATGATCCCTTTATATTATATTCATTAGGGCATTTTAATCCATTTATAAAAATATGTGGAACAACTTTTAACCTGTATGTTATAATCAAATAACCAAATAAAAAACTATATCAGAAGCTATGGATATCTTGGGCTTAAAACTCATTTTTTAAAAAATCCAACAGGAATAGTAGTGTGTAAGTAGATTTTGATCCAGTGGGTCTTTGATTTGATGGATTTTCTTTCCCTTTATTTCTCACAATAGCACCCTATTTCTTTTTGTTGTTGTTGTTTTTGTTTTTGTTTTTGTTTTTTTTTGAGACAGTGTCTCCCTCTGTTATCCAGGCTGGAGTGCAGTGGTGCAATCACTGCACCTTTGACAACTGTTGGGCTCAAGTGATCCTTGTACTTCTCAGCTTATTCTTTAACCTCTTTTGAAAATGCCCATGTCACAGATCCCATGCGGTCTTCTTTGTTATCATAAAAATAAGAAGCAGCAGAGGTTTTTACCACCCTTCTAATAACACCTCCAGCAATAGAAAGACCAACTCAGTCATCTCGTTTCACATATATATCAAAGTAGAAAAGTAACATGTGCACCAGCTATCTATCCCTCTCCCTTGAACTGGCACATTTCCTATAGAAGAGGGGTCCCCAACCCCTGGGCTCTGGACCGGTACCAGTGGCCTGTTAGGAACCGGACTGGCTGCACAGCAGGAGGTGAGCAGAGAGCAATCCAGCGAAGCTTCATCTGTATTTGCAGACACTCCCCATCATTTGCATCTCCACCTCCTGTCAGATCAGCAGCAGCATTAGATTCTCATAGTGTGAACCCTATTGTGAACTGCATATGCAAGGTATCTGGGATCTAGGTTGCCTGCTCCTTATGAGAGTCTAATGCCTGATGACCTGTCCTTCTGTCCCATTACCCCCAGGTGGGGCCATCTCGTTTCAGGAAAACAGGCTCAGGGCTGCCACTGACCCTATATTATGGTGACTTGTATAATTATTTCATTTTATATTACAATGTAATAATAATAGAAATACAGTGCATAATAAATGTAATGTGCTTAAGTCATCGTGAAACCATCCTGCTCCCTTCCCCCCGTACCCAGTTCATGGAAAAATTGTCTTTCACGAAACCAGTTCCTGATACCAGAAAGGTTGGGGATCACTGCTTTAGAGGAATGGCTGAGGATATGTCTTACTTTATCCTTTTCTGAACTGGTCACTTTTAGATAAAGCACAGATGTCTCTCTCTAAGTACAAGATGTCAGCATTCATGTCAATTCAGTGTACCGTGTCTTAGCAGGACATTGAAGAGACTTGGTAGCCTAATAACAAGAGCATTTGCCACAATGTTTGAGTGAAGAGTAGCATTTTGATTTAAATCAAATCAAACCCTAGAAGACTAAATCATGAGCAAAAAAAATGAAGAAAACACAAAATGGTCACTTAGAAGTATAAATCTGGAGGCTCAGTTCAACGCTGAGGTTTTGTGTGAGCACATTGTTTCTTCTATGTGATGGTACTTAGTATGGGAACGAAGTTACACAGAGATTGGTAATCCCCACAGAAAGAAAATAACGCAATTTGGTCAGCTTGAGACCTAATTTATAACTTAAAACCATAGTGATAAAAATTCTTTCCTCCTGTTTTAGAGAGGAACCTTAACCCCAAAGCAGCCTGCCTTAAGAGAAGGGAAGAAGAAAAAGTTTCTGCCGTATCGGCAGAGCCGCCAACCACACTGCCAGGAACCCATCCTGGGCTTAGTGAAACTACCAACCCTATGGGTCATATGTAAACATCAGCCAGGTAAGTACCGGTTTGAAAAGAAACAAGGAAATAACCTTAAGACTCATCTTAAACTGGGTTAGAATCTTTGAACAGAATTCTCTAGTGAGCAGTGGCCATTGTAAAGGTTACAGGTAATTTGAAATACAACAGTTTGTCTTTCTGTTACATTATCAGACTTAGAGAGCCAGTGTCATTTTATACAAAGTTACCATTTTCTTCAAAGTGTGACAGTACCTTGTGACTTTGGTTCTTCTGTTCTGAATCGTCATGTTTACCCATTTACATGAGTGTCTTCCTGATCCAAGAAGAAATAATAAAGTGACTCAACCATCAGAAAACGCTCTTGCTACCACTCATGTTCTTCATTTCTTTATTCAGAAATGCTTGACTATATCATCAACCAGTTTTCTGCTAATTATCTAGCTCTTTGTCATGAAGCCTTTATATATGAAAAAGTTATTACTTCTATTTGGATCAATAATGCAAGTTTATGATATGATGCTTCCTCCCCACTTGCAAGCACATCAGTTAACACCTTCTAGAATCTATTAATGTATGTGAAGTTATTATATATGGTAGAGCTAGAATGCCCTTCTCTCTGGTGGAATTTTACTTGTTCAAGGAATATTCTTTATATCTTTCTCTTCATGGACTAAACACAATTCAGTTCCTTGTGATTTTTTTTTTTTTCCTCAAGATGGAGTCTCGCTTTTTTTTCCTCAAGACGGAGTCGCCCAGGCTGGAGTGCAGTGGCACAATCTCGGCTCACTGCAGCCTCTGCCTCCCAGATTCCAGCGATTCTCCTGCCTCAGCGTCCCGAGTAGACTAGCTGGGATTACAGGTGTGCACCACCATGCCTGGCTAATTTTTGTATTTTTAGTAGAGATGAGGTTTCACCATGTTGGCCAGGCTGGTCTCGAACTCCTGACCTCAGGTGATCCACCTGCCTCAGCCTCCCAAAGAGCTAGGATTACAGGCGTGAGCCACCTCACCCGGCTGGTAACTTCACTTTTATAACCTGCCTTCAGCAGTATGTAGTTGTTTTCCCAATTTTATCAACAGATTAAAAGTAGTAAGTAAAGGCAGATGAGTGTGGGGTGTGGAACAGAAAAAATACCAAGTGCAGTTTCATTTGGTCAGTTTTGTGGCTATCTCATTTTGAACTGAAAGTCTGGGATTTGATAGAATATTTGATAGATAAACTACAAATATTACTAACTCACCTTTTCCTAAGGGATTTAGTTCCTACAACCACTATATATAGAGGGTCAAATGAGACCACATATAGGGTCAAACCAGAACACACAGAAGATTTCATTTAGGGTAAAAGAAGGAAAGAGTTAAGGCAGTTATTTCATAAGTCAATTATAACTGTAACATTAGCACACTGGAGAAAACCTCAAACTGCCTCCCCCACAGAAAGTATCCAGCAGTCTAAGAGATTGTACATGTCAGAGACTTTAGGCAAGAGCTAGTTTACAGATCCTCTAAAACCTAAATCATTGTTTCATACTCTACAGAAAATATAGACTACTATGAAACAATACGTATTTTTGTTTCAAAAATAAACCTTGAAGTTTTTTTGTTTGTTCGAGATTTTTTGTTGTTGTTGGTTTTGTTGTTCGTTTGTTTTGAGATGGAGTTTCACTCTGTCACCTGAGCTGGAGTGCAGTGGCGCGATCATCTCGGCTCACTGCAACTCTCGCCTCCTGGGTTTGAGCAATTCTTCCACCTCAGCCTCCTGAGTAGCTGGGATTACAGACATACACCACCACACCCAGCTAATTTTTTTGTATTTTTAGTAGAGACGGGGTTTCACCAGGTTGCCCAGCCTGGTCTCAAACTCCTGACCTCAAGCGATCCGCCCGCCTCGGCTTCCCAAAGTGCTGGGATTACAGGTGTGAGCCGCTGAGCCCAGCTAAAAAATTAACTTTGAAGTTTTAAAATAAAACCATGCCACTATTTATCAGTGCAAAAGAGACTTTCTAAATTGATAGATTATTTCAAAGAAGAGTGATGGGAGAGGTAACTTCTTAAGCCCAGGTCCCAGATAACCACCAAGCTGTGAAAAAGAGCACTAGTCATTCTGCCCTAACACTTCTCTGGGAGCCTATGTCTTAGTTTTCTTGTCTCGCTCTAGTTAGTTCTACCCATTTCCTCTTGTTTTCTTCCCAGTCTCTCTCTTACTCCTTCAACTTTGTCTTCTCATTCTCATGTCTCATTTCCTTCTGTTTACTTCCTGTGCTTTTACTACTTCTGTATTTCATACTGCTTTCATAGCTCTACCCTTATCTCTTTATAATGTGGAAATTTTCTCACTTAGGTTAAAATTAAACTTAGGGCATTCCCACCTATCAAAAAAGGATCAAGAATTCTTTTAAGTTTAAAAAGGCATCAAGATATGAGACATGTAGTGAATGCACTTTGTTCCGTAGGTTGTATAGGCTAGTGTTTGTCATCTTAGAATATGTGCTAAAGTTGCTAATTTCATAAAGATAGTTATCTGGTTTCATGAATTGGATAGCAGATTAAAAGCAGCAAGAGACAGGGCAGCAGGAAAAATGCTACTAGAATCAAAATGGCTAAGACGTGACCACAGAATGACTGGGTATAAACATACAAAAATTAGCTATCATGTAATGTAGGCCAAGTAGCTTTGAATATCTTAGTTTTCCATCACTAAGAGCATCGCTGTGTACCTAAACAATACTGTGGTTATTGTTTAATAAGGAAGTAAAAGTTATGATTCTATCATATCTAAAACTATTTTATTTAGTTAATTTTTAACTAAATAGATATATATTATATATTTACATATATATATTTACATATATATATGTTTCATTTGGTCAGTTTTGTGGCTATCTCATTTTGAACTGAAAGTCTGGAATTTGATAGAAAAACTACAAATATTAGTAACTCACCATTTCCTGAGGGATTTAGTTCCTACCACCACTACATATATGGGGTCAAACCAGACCACACAGAAGATTTCATTTAGGGTAAAAGAAAGGAAGAGTTAAGGTTGCTAATTTCATAAAGATAGTTACCTGGTTTCATGAATTGGATAGCAGGTTAAAAGCAACAAGAGACAGGGCAGATGTATATTATATACATCTGTATAATTATATATATATATTTATATATATAATTACAGAGTTACCACTATATATATTATATTGGGAACATAAGTATGTATAGAATTTGTACTAATAGAGTAAAATGTTGTTAATAAATATTGAGTAAACATTTATTGAGGACCTACTGTGTGCCAGGAACTGGGACCAATATGAAAATGAATGCAAAATGGCCTCTGACCTCAAGTGTTCTCAGTTCAGATGAAATAAATGTAAACTGTTAACACAGTGTGGTTGAGTGGAGGCAGCAGCAAATTGAGGGCTTTACTGTTGTCTCACTACTGAGGAATGAATGAGTAGCACCTCAGAGCTCAGTTATTGCCAACTTGAGTGTTGTTAAAATGAAAGTTTGCATCATTGCTGCAGCTGTTTTATACTCCTATAGTTTGTGATTCTGTAATCACATGATCTCCTTTAAAAATCTTACCATATAGCCGGATGTGGTGGTGCACACCTGTAGTCCCAGCTACTCAGAGACTGAGGTGGGAGGATCACTTGAGCCCAGGAGTTTAAGGCTGTATTGAACCATGATCATGGCACTGTACTCCAGCCTGGGTGATAGAGCAAGACACTGTCTGAAAACAAACAAACAAAAAACCTTACCATACACATCAAGTAAAACCATTTCATTATACCTTAAAAGGAAGAAGTTCATTAAGTCACTTAGCAGACTACAAATTTAGTGCAGACATGGATATAGATGAGGAATACCAGCTTGTTTTGTTGGTGGGAGGGGGAAGGTGTTTTATTTTTAATAATTATGTACTAACTGGTATTGTCCTCTCCCTTGGCTGTCCCTGCCACAGTTCCAGAGTTATCAGTAGGCTAGATAGAAGGTGACCTCTCCTCATAAGGACTTGGACAACTCAGATTATCTGAAGACACAGACCTGACAGGAGGGAGAAGAAAAAACAAAACACTTGAAGCAAGAAACTCAAATGTAATCCTACGATCAAAGCAACTGGTCAACACTTCCATCAGAAGTGAAGATAGGAAGCTCATCAGATAGAACATCAGCCCATGAGATGTTTGCAACAAATCATTTTGTTGCAAGCAGTGTGTCGCTTCTGCACAATCAGAGACTGTCTCGATCTCTCCACTCACCGTGGAAGTTGCCTTGTGCCTAAACTGAATTGACAAATGCATTGTAACTACAAATTTTATTTATTGTTATGAAACTGTAAGGTCTACATATAAAGGGAAAAAGTTAATGTGGAAAGCTGATCTACACTCAGCTGATGCCAGCATACATTAAAGCAGTTCACGTGCAGAGAACAAAGCAATGACAACCATTGGCCCTTAGCATTCCCGGCATACCTATTAGTGTCTTAAAAAGGAAGGGAAAAGTCTTTTGTTGCCCTCTCCTATCCTTTTGCCATATGAATAGTGTTTTCCATGAAATAGGAAAATATCACTTGGAATAGCATTTCTCTTGCTCTCATTTTTTGATTTATTTTTATTTTCTCTTTGTGGGTGTTATATTTGATTTCTAAATCTGAATAGTTTATGGTCACAGTCCAGCCTCCTCCATGCAGCCCTGTGTGCTTTGCACATTTACCTTACAGTGGTAAGCAGAGACCATCTGTGACCATAGCCTAGCTAGGATTTTAAAAGGGGAAATTTTGTTCTCTAGGTTTTCCCCCAAATAAACATTGCTTTATTTCTAATAATAACCAAGACTTTTCAAGCTTCTAGATCTCATAGGAAAGGTTGTAACAGCAAAATTGTAAATTACAAGGGAAGAATCTACTTTTTAGAAATTGCTTTGTTTTCCAAGCAGTAAGTACTACATACAGTACTTGTAAAGTGTTAGCTGTAAGTAAGCACAAAATACATTTAAAATACAAAGACGATTTTTTCAGGCTGTGATTATGGTGAACATAACAAAACCCAGTAGTCACCAAGGCAGGTAGTGTGATAAATGAACACACCACTCTGAGGCTAATTACCTAATGGAATACAAGAGCAATGGTCACCCGTGTTTCCTTATCCTAGCCTTTATTTCTCTGTCATTTGGATGGCTGGTCAATGGGGAAGAATTCAGTGGGTGATTTAATCAACTGCAAACCATCTGCCCCTGTCCCAAAATGATGAGCCAGATTAGCATTAAACCAGTATTTGTCAGTCCATCTTAATACTGTTCATTAAGGCACTCTCTGTCTCTAATCCTTAGGAGTTGTTTTCAAAGACATAATCACTTTGAACTTCCATGAAACCTGTCTTCCACCACAACAACCCTGGGAGAGAAAAACATGCTAAACGAGGTATCTTGGCTTAATAATTCCTTATAGCCAACATCAACAGTGGCAATCAGCACACAGAGGAAAGGACCCAAATCACTATGTAGCTTAAAGATTTCTGTTAATTTGAAAGAACAAAAACAGGACAGAACTTCTGGTACTCTAATCAGGATGATTCCTAACAAGTCAGTCATTTGTGAACTTAGTGGACTTTTTGGTTACTTTAATTTGCATATATTCTCCAGTTACATCAGACTCTATCTGTGGCCTTGTTCTTCATTTCAGTGTTAATCAGCTAAACAGAAGTTGTTGCTTATGATGTGTGAGTGAACATAATGCCACTGCCTGGCCTTTTTTTCTTCAGAGCTTGTTGTCTTTTTCGCTATATTAGACTTTGCAGTATGCCCAGAAGCTTTCCTTCATAAAATAGAAAGAAAAAAACATTTGGCTTATTTTTCACTGTAGCTAGTCTTTTATACAATAATCTTGTAAGAAAATTTCTTGAATTCTAAATATTACTCTTTCTAGATTTTTGAAATCAAAAAGTTTTCAGTAAAAAGTTTCTTACTTTATTTTATTATATTAGGTAGTAAAAATGTAGGGTTATTTACCATAACCTGTTCATTAATATCAGAAATTTACAATAGCATTTTAAGACCATAGTAGGATTCTAGCATACCGTGTAGTACCTATGGAGTATTGTAAGAGCTAATTGTTGGAGATGAATTGCTTCTCATCTTGTTCTCCAGTTTCCATTGTTGGTTTATTGCAGATTTGTATCCTGTGTCAAATTCAAGGTATTATTGATAAACCTTTTCAACCAGCAGCAAGAAGTTCAAATTTTTTTCTGTCACTGTAACAGAAAACACAATATGTATATAACATTTATGTAGCAATAAATGTGCCATCTTTTTTTTAACACAGTAAACTAGTGAGTTTTTTACATTACTCTTTCTCAAATAATAATGTATTTTGTTTTCTTTTCTCCATCTCATTCATCCCAGAAACACTCACACTGCTTTTCCTAACTGCATTATCTGCATTATCTGGGAAACCCTTCAGGACAGAATCAGGGTTGTGGAGCTAAGTTGGCAATCTGGTCTAGAGCTTCTCCAGCTTGTGCTTTTCTCCTCTTGCCCTCACTACTGATAGTGGCCTTTTACCCTTTTCCTCAAGATTGACCAAACAGCAATTACTAGTTATAGAAAATCTACTCATTTGTAGATCTAGAGAAAAATGAAGAAGATGGAAAAAGACTCAAATGAGGCTTTTTAAGTTATTCTTCAAAGCACTTTTCACATTTCCCATACCCTTTCTCACAGAAAAAGTGTGTCATAATTAGGTAATGGTATTGTTTATTGCTTAAAAGATAAAAGTTTGCTTTTATCCCAGTTTTTAACCACAAAAAAAGCACAGTGATTATCCATGAGGACTTCATGCCAAGCAAGAACCTCAAACAAACTGGACAAACTTTTTTTGACAGTGAATGACTTTTTGTAGGACCTGTGCATGCAAAACCCATGGTGATTGTCACATCCTCTTGGTATGCTGGCAGATTGCTTCTCTTGGTGAATTATGAAATCCACTGTTCACATTGGGTGCCTAACAGAACGTTTTGTTTCTTGTGGGATTTAGTGAAAACTGTTAAAGTTGTTAAGTTGATTTTATACAAAATGATAAAAATCTCTAAGAAGAAAATGTATAATCTTAAGAGCTGAAATGAAATATAGAGACCATCTAGTAAACGACCTCATTAATAGATCTGTGAAAACTGAGACTCAGATTGTATGTCTCTAAGAACACATAATTAGTAACAGATCAAGACACTTACAACTTTCCCTACAAAACCTCCCTGCCTTTACTTTCTCTTTCTAGATTTCTAGGCCAGTTCTACTCAGTGTCTTCATTTTCTTCCATATTTGTTTTATTTCATGTTTCTCTCCTACAGTTCATGTTTTCTTTCTCCTTGGGAACTCAAAATTTAAACGTGTGTGTGTGTGTGTGTGTGTGTGTGTGTGTGTGTGTGTGTGTGAGACTTTAAAGAATTTGGCATTAAATAGTCCTCGATTCAGATCTAAGCTCAACATCTGATTAACTTCATTTTCTTATCTGAAAAATGGAGATAACATTAGAATTGTGTAAGGATTGAATGAAACAATGTATGGAAAGCTCTTATGGTTCTTGTCACATAATAAGTACTTAATGATAAATATTTTTAAATAAATAATATTATAACCAACTCCCAGGATGATTCCTCTTCAGCCATCCTGTCAGAGGTAAATGGTGAAATAAACCCCCAGAAGATGTCAACCCATCTTTGTAGGAGTCTACATTCTTTTGCAGCCATCCAATGAAATAATTGCATTTCTTTTCAATGCCCTCCCGTGGCTACATTTTAAGAGGTTTTTTTCTTTTTTAGACCTTCACATTTCAAGAGTGAGTCTGGCGGGCATGGTGGCTCACGCCTGTAATCCCAACAATTTGGGAGGCCAAGGCAGGCCAATCACTTGAGGTCAGGAGTTCATGACCAGCCTGGCCAACATGGTAAAACCCCGTCTCTACTAAAAGAACAAAACTTAGCCAGCTGTGGTGGCAGGTGCCTGTAATGCAAGCTTCTCGGGAGGCTGAGGCAGGAGAATCGCTTGAACCTAGGAGGTGGAGGTTTCAGTGAGCTGAGGTCACGCCATTGCACGACAGCCAGGAGAACAAGAGCAAAACTCTGTCTCAGAAAAAAAAAGAGTAAGCCAGTAGGCTTTACCCAGTCACACTGTGTGGGTGGACAGCTGTATCAGTTTGGGTTCTTAAGAAGCAGATGCCAAGAGGAAGTTAGAAGGGCAAAGGATTTATTAGGAGATGTACCTGTGAAAAACAAAGGGGTGAGGAATCAAAAGTAGACAGGGATGGCCTTCAGACCATGCTGCAGGTTTGACATTAAAAGAAGGGCGTGTAAGGAAGGAGGATTAGGCAGGGAGAGCCTCAGGCTGCCTGCAGTTCTGAAGAAGGCCTGAGCAGCCCAGTAGGGGTGTTCTGGCACAAAGATTGCCGACGAAGGAGGCTTGTGTTGGGCAGGAATGGCAAAGTAGTATCAGTGTCCCTGTTTTGGTCGGTCATTGACTGGGATTTACCTGAGGAGACTGAGGCCTCAGTTTGAACAGCCAGAAGCTGACAGCTAACCACTCTTTCCCGACAGGTTATCTTTGAAAGGAGACCTCAGGTGCACCTCATGGCTTCCACAGCACTTCATCATCTTCCTACAAAAGAGCAAAATAAAACCAAAGGGTCTTCTGAAGTCACTGAGACAATAGCTGATCTCATTGGGCCAATGAGTCTTCTAAAAATTGCAGTTCCTTCTCCTTTGGCATTTCACAGTCAAGTAAACCTAGACGTATTATCCGAAGAATGAATCCCATTCCTCCTCCATCTTCTTTGGCTCTGGTGTGTAATCTGGATACTAGCCCCTAAAGTTGCTGTGTTTAGCAACTTCATTTCTCCATGTCTGTTGGGGGCTGGTTTCACAATCCCCTAAGGATAACAAAATCTCTGGATGCTCATGGCCTTTATATAAAAGGGCACGATATTTGCATACAATCTATACACATCCCCCCACATACTTTAAATCATCTCTGGATTACTCATAGTACCTAATGCAATGTAAATCCTATGTAAATCATTAGTATGCTGCATGGGTTTTTTGTCTGCATTATTTTCAGTATTGCACTGTTTTGTTGTGAAAACGGTCTTGCTCTGTCACCCAGGCTGAAGTGCAGTGGTATGATCCTAGCTCAATGTAACCTCAAACTCCTGGGCTCAAGTGATCCTCCTGCCTTGGCCTCCCAGAGTTCTGGGATTACAGGCGTGAGCCACCATGCCCAGCCTGTAGTGGTGGTGGTGGTGGTGGTGGTGGTGGTGGTGGTGTTTGAGACAGGGTCGTACATTATTGCCAAAGCTGGAGTACAGTGGCACATACATGGCTCAACCTCCTTGGCTCAAACAATCCTCCTGCCTCAGCCTCTAGAGTAGCTGGGACCGTAAGAGTGCACCCCCGTGCCTAGATAATTTTTTTATTTTTTGTAGAGATGGAATCTCCCCATGTTGACCAGGCTGAGCTTAAAATTATGGACTCAACCTATCCTCCCGCCTTGGCCTCCTAAAGTGCTGGGATTATAGATGGCTGTGCGTGGCCCCTTGTTAATTTATAATTAGTTTTCCCCCCCCCCAATATTTTTGATCTATGGTTTCTTGAATCTGGATATGGGACCTGCATGCAGATAAGAAAGGCCAGCTGTATTATGGTGTTCTTCACAGGACAAGTGACAGTCCCTGCTTGCTGGGTCAGTAGATTGTCCACGCGTCTTTGTGGCCACCTGGCTTAGGAAGCTCACAATTCCCTGTGAGTGCCCTCAGCCCTAGGCTTTCTTACGTGTGCCTGTGCTGGAGCATGTATATGGGAGTAGAAATAGCTTTCCTATGTTTGTTATCTTTCTTTAGTTACTACCAGAAGACAGCCTGGAGGGGCTTTCTGTTCTCTTTGACATAGACCTTCAATCCCTTCCCCAAACTGTCATGTGGTGCCACTGCTGCCTTCTGCCAGGGTCTGCTTTCTCTCTCTTGAGGATCAGTGTTCCACTACGCTGGGTCCCCAGGGTCTCTGAGCCATTTTGTCTTTGGGCTTGGTGAGCGCCATGTGCAAGATTTCCAAGTCTTTCAAAGCTTGTGAAAATGTTTGCAATCTGAAAAAATATTACGGTGCCAAAAAAAAAAATGCAAAATGAAATTAATTTCAAAAACAATTACAAAAGTCATACAAAACTGTTATAGCAAAACTAAATTGCTATTTAATGTGGAACTTGAGCTCATTTTAATGTATTTGATCTTATTAAATTTGGTATAGAAGGAATGTACCTTAACACAATAAAGAAGCATCTATGATAAACCCATAGCTAACATCCTAACTCACTGGTGAAAAGTTAGAAGCTTTTCCTCTAAGATCAGGAACAAGACAAGGATGCCCACTCTAGCCACTTCTATTAAACATAGTAATCCTAGCTGGAGCAATTATGCAAAAGAAAGAAAAGACAGCCAAACTGGAAGAAGTTTAACTGTCCCTATTTGCAGACAACATAATCTTGTAATACAGAAAACCTTAATGATTCTACCGAAAAACTTAGAACTAACAAATGAATTCAGTAAAGTTGCAGAATACAAAAATCAACATACAAAAATTAGTAGCATTTCTACACACTAACAGTGAACTACCTGAAAAAAAAATCAAGAAAACAATCCCATTCAGAAAAGCTTAAAAAAATTAAATACTTAGGAATAAATTAAACCAAAGAGGTGAAAAACTGATACACTAAAAACTATAAAACATAAATTGAAGAAGATGCCAATAAATGGAAAGATAGACCACGTTCATGAATTGGAAGAGTTAATGTTGTTCAAATGTCCATACTACCCAACGTGATCTACAAACTTAATGCAACCCGTATCAAAATTTCAATGACTTTTTTTTCACAGAAATAGAAAAAGCCTGAAATTTGAATAGAACCACAAAAGACCCCAAATAGCCAAAGCAACCTTGAGCAAAAAGAACAAAACTGGAGGCATCACACTACCTGACTTCAAAATATACTAAGAAGTTACAGTAATCAAAACAGTACAGTACTGACAACAAAGAAGACACATAGACCAATGGAACAGAATAAAACACAGAAGTCAGTCTGTGTATTTACAGAAAATTGATTTTTGACAATGATATCAAGAACACACATGAGGAAAGGACAGTCTCTTCAATAAATAGTGTTGGGAAAATCGTCTGTCTACATGCAAAAGAATGAAATTAGACCTTTATCTCATACCATACACAAAAATAAATTCACAGTGGATTAAAGACTTAGACATAAGACCTGCAACTATAAAATTGCTAGA